GGTCAGTATAACTATATGTTATGACTTATGTATCAGGTCAGTATAATTCTATGCTATGACTTCTGTAATCAGGTCAGTATAACTGTATGTTATGACTTATGTATCAGGTCAGTATAATTCTATGCTATGACTTCTGTAATCAGGTCAGCATAATTGTATGTTATGACTTTTGTATCAGGTCAGTATAACAATATGTTATGACTTCTGTAATCAGGTCAGTATAACTATATGTTATGACTTATGTATCAGGTCAGTATAACTATATGTTATGACTTATGTATCAGGTCAGTATAATTCTATGCTATGACTTCTGTAATCAGGTCAGTATAACTATATGTTATGACTTATGTATCAGGTCAGTATAATTCTATGCTATGACTTCTGTAATCAGGTCAGTATAACTGTATGTTATGACTTATGTATCAGGTCAGTAAAATTCTATGCTATGACTTCTGTAATCAGGTCAGTATAACTGTATGTTATGACTTTTGTATCAGGTCAGTATAACTATATGTTATGACTTCTGTAATCAGGTCAGTATAACTATATGTTATGACTTATGTATCAGGTCAGTATAACTATATGTTATGACTTATGTATCAGGTCAGTATAATTCTATGCTATGACTTCTGTAATCAGGTCAGTATAACTGTATGTTATGACTTATGTATCAGGTCAGTATAACTATATGTTATGACTTATGTATCAGGTCAGTATAATTCTATGCTATGACTTCTGTAATCAGGTCAGTATAACTGTATGTTATGACTTATGTATCTGGTCAGTATAACTGTATGTTATGACGTATGTATCAGGTCAGTATAACTGTATGCTATGACTTATGTAATCAGGTCAGTATAACTCTATGTTATATCTTATTTATCTCATCAGTATAACTATATGTTATGACTCCTCTATCAGGTCAGTATAACTGTATGTTATGATTTATGTATCTGGTCAGTATAACTCCATGTTATGACTTCTCCATCAGGTCAGTATAACTTGATGTAATGATTTAATGTTATGTAATGATGTAATTCACTCCAAGGCCGAAATACACCAAAATATTACTGTATTTAAAATATCCGAAAAGACAGTAGTGAAAACCTTATTTCCAGATTGTTTGCACAAAGGATTGGTTACTAGATATTATAAGCAAGATTATTGCAATAGAACAATATTGCCCCTCAGTATTTCTTCCCCCTGAAACAGCAATCAACTCCAGCAATAATTTCGCCAACTACCTTAAGCTTCTTCAGCACATTGATTCCTTTCAGCTTTTCCACATAGTTGTATGAAATCCAAAGCTGTTCAAGTGTATCTCCGACAGCTTCCTGTGTATAAACAAACGAGTCTGGAGTGTCGTTAATATTACCAACAAAAGACCTGACTTACTAATATACTGCCTAATATATATAGCATGTATGTCTTCACCCATTATTAAGTGTAACCGTGTAAATAGCTGTGATGGGAAGTGACATGTTAGCAGGGATGTACTTTAGAGGCACTTTTATCAATGCAAGTATGTACTAAATTCAGTGATGGACAATCGGTTTAAAATCCTAATCGATAATTGATTTGTAATCGGAAGTAAGTAAACCGATCGATGATCGATTGCATAATCGGTTCATAATTTTAAGGGCCAGAATACCCAAATAAAGTGAGAGCACTACCACAACATCAATAGACAGAGTGGTTAACTATACACTACCACAACATCAATAGACAGAGTGGTTAACTATACACTACCACAACATTAATATAATCGATCATTAGGCCATCACTAACTAACTTTTATAAAAAAAAAATGGGTTCCATGAAATACTACTAATGGATCATATAAGAATGATAGATAATAGAGATATCTCAGTGCTATTCTGCTTTGATTTTGTATGGCAACAATCATGAACTATGTCAACATGTATTGTTTATCACTGTGCTCCAGTAAAACTTCACACTAACACTTATTAGGAACGTCAATGGCAGGACCATGAACGTGGATTTAATTAAGCTAGAAAATGGCTGCAACAATGTTAAGAAATCATGAATGCCCCAGGCCCACTTCCATGCACACTGTCACTGTTTAGAATATTTCTAGAAATAGAAACTGTGACCTTGGCCTTTCAAAATCTTTGTATAAAGTTTGATTAAAAATCAGATGTTACTAGCGAGATGTCACTGAATAAGTTGACATGTTTCTAAAATGAGTAAAAGTGACCACTGCCTTGACCTAGTAACCCTGAAATATGGACTCATTTGAGGTAGTGAAATGTACAGGCGGTCACCCATCCAACTACTGACCATGCTTGATGTTGCTGAACTAGTGAGCGGTTCCCCAGGTTAATACTGCATCGCTGGAAGAGCTAGCTTGCCAGTAAGGCAGTATTTTCCCTCATATTCCTTAGATGTTACACTACTCTCCCCTCCGAAAAGTCTTGTCCCGGGAATCCTGTAGGTCCTCCCTGTGTATCAAGGCACCTTCCCAAACCACTGGGAACTGGCCTTACGTGATCACACAGAGTCACTACGCTACCACCAAATGTAATGTGCGGGCGGTCACCCATCCAACTACTCAGCTTGACCCACGCTCAACATTGCTGAACTAGCTAGTGAGCGGGTCCCTAGTTATACGCATTGCTGGAAAAGCTAGCTTGCCAGTGAGGCAGTATTTTCCCCTCACATTCCTTAAATGTTACGTATATTAGTACCTTACTTAAGTATGTTCAAACTCCATTAAGAAATTAAGTCAGAGAGAGCAATCAGGCACTGAATCGGGACAGGAAGCGTGAGGACAGATATTGGTTACAATATATGCCCCCCAACTCCATCATCCAAATAAAATGGCAGGGACGTAAAAAGAACTGTATATAGGCAGAGAGTAAATAATGTTAATTTACCTATAATGAGCAACATCCATAACTTAATATGAAAATCTGTAATCACAAAGTTTACTTACTAAACCAGTTAAGGATTTGATATTGTTTCTTCCCAGAGACAAGATTTTCAAATTTTCTGAAAAAAGAAGAAGAAAACAACAAGCATTAAATACATGTTTTTCAATGATGTATCACAAATTCAGTAACAATTAATTTCTTATAATTCAACTGAAAGAGGATTGAGTTGTCAAGACAAGATTTAACAATATTGTAAATGGCAAATAATTATTTCAAAAGTAGAGGATAAAACAGTGTCGGGCGTAATTAGGATTACTAGGACGTGTGATTAAGAACAGGAAAAGGAACTTTTGATACAGTATACTTACTCAAACCATTTAAATTTGCTATCTTCTCTATAGCATTTGTCGAAACTGACAATTTTCTGTAAAATATGAAATCAAAACAATTAGAAATACAACAGAGGATCAATAGGCCTTCATCGCTCACCTGATATAAATCTAACAACTGTTACTTTAAAAATGGACTAAATGAAAGCTAAAGGCAAAATATCAGTGTCTTGACTCAAAGTCAATCAAAAGAACCTGTTGAAAGATTTGAACACATTAAACCCTTGTGACATTGACAGTTAAACAAGGACATACTGTTAAACAAACTTTATAGCCCTTTATCCCAGAATGCAACCTGCCAAATATTATCACCCTACACCTTTTATTTATAGAGAAAATTACTTTAAAGATTTATACACAATTGACTTGATGTGACCTTGAAAGTGTCAAGGTCATTCAGATGCAAAAACTTGATGGCTCTTCATTTGAGCATGCTAATGGTCACATTTCACCATCCTTTGAATTTTGGTTATTCAGAAGAGTAGTTTAAAGTTTTTAACATATTTAACCCCTGTTACTTTGAATATAATTCAAGGTCATTCTTTTGAACAATTTTTGCAAACCTTTCATCCCAGCATGCTACTGGCTAAATATCATCATCCTAGCCATTTTTCATTTAGGAGAAGTTGTTTAAAGTTTTTAACTTTTAAATCATCAACCTGGTCCTTTTGGTTATTCAGAAGAAGTCATTTGAAGGATTTATAAGACAAATGACCCAGGTGACCTTGAATATGGGCTAAGGTAATTTATTTGAACAAACTTGGTAGCCCATCATCCCAGTATGCTTCTGGTTAAATATCATCACCCTAGGCCTTTTGGTTATTTTAAAAGAAGTTGTTTAAAGATTTCAATATATTTGACCTCTGTGACATTGAATATGGGCAAAGGTCATTCATTTGAACACACTTGGTAGCATTTTATCCCAGTATGCTTCTGGCCAAATATCATCACCCTAGTTCTTTTGGTGATTTAGAAGAAATTGTTAAGTAAAATCTTGACGCCGGATGCCGATTCACAGGATAGGCTCACTTGGCCCTTCGGGCAAGGTGAGCTAAAAATATGTAGAGAATTTCAACACATTCATGCTATGTGTGTGTATAGTATTGAGTCAGGGTGAGAAAATGTTGGAAAAAAATAATTAAAGGCCACTTTGACCAGAGCTACTTATTTTTTAAACAACTTTTTTTCAATTTTTGTATATTTAGGATATTCCACCATATTTATGATACAAACATAAGCTTATATTATGTATTCTACCATGTATAAATGCTAATAATAATTATCATGAAAAGCAAGTACTGGCATACATACTCGCAGCAGGATAATGTAGACAAAGAGGCATCCATCTTTTCAATGGGAGGATACTGCCCAATAATTTCCACATGTTTGCATTCGTTGGCTTTTTCATTGCACTTTGTCTCCTAAAAAATCATCAAACATAAACAGGGACATGCAGGAATGTATTGGAGAGGAAAAATTAAATTAAAACAGATGTGTTTTTATCATACCACACAAAAATTAACTATATTCAAGTTCAATACGTAAAAGAATTAAAAATAGAATAACACCAGTAAATGGGGAATATTGCACTACGGAGTGACAACTTATCAGAACTAGGTTGTTGTAGACTTAACGGAGGTTAGGCACTTTGCTTTCTTCATGATAGGACACTTAAATTTAGAGCTTGGATTTGTGACAACATGTACAATTTGGTCTCTGCACCATATATCCGTAGTGCATATTAATTATTTCAATCTTGAAAATAATGTAAGATACAACATATGATAAGTGAGGATATTTTTATTAGGTTTATTCAACAGATTTCAGTGGAAAAATTTATGGAGAGTTAATAAAAGAATGTGTAACTTATGGGAAAAATAGCATTTGTAAAAAAAAAAAAAAATCTTATATTAGATTTAGTTAAAAATAGCAGAGACTTTGACAAAAAAGGAATTTTTGGCACATTTCAGGGCTCAAAAGCAAGAAAATAGAAATATTTGTAGAAAAAGATTTGACCCTTACATGTAAATTAGTTGCTAATTCACAAGAAATTGACTAAAATGTCATTTGAGCTCTTTTCAGGGCCCAATTCCGTCTTTGCATATTGCAGAGTTATCTTCTCTTGGGAGCAGGCATTGATTTGTACGTCACTTGTTTGTGAGAGTAACATCATCAATTTTTGAGAAAACGAAGTAATTTTCTCACACAAATCAATGACGTAACAATCAATACCTGCTCCCAAGAGAAGATAACTCTGCAATACGCAAAGACGGAATAGAAAGAAACCTGATATGAATAGGAATACATTTATTTAATTTTTCCTATTCAGTAATGACATTTAATTATCTAGTCAATCAGATCACTGTAATTACATAGGAAGTCACCTTGACCTGGTTGCCAATTTACTATGGTATCCAGATTTATCATAACCAGATTTATGAGAAATTTGAATGGATACCTGTATAAATTCCTCTTTTTTTATAATGAAATATAAATTGATACATCGTTAATGAGAAAGCTATGAAGAATTCACAAAAAAAGAATGTGTTGTTATTGTTAAAAATTGCATTTGTAGAAAAAAATTGACAATAAAATTAGATTTTGTTGCAAAATTGAGAAATTTATCAATATATATGTATGTCAAAAGTGATATGGACAGGTATATTTTTTGTCCTGTCAGAGGCTAGCAGTACTGTGTACTGAAACAAGCTAAGCTTATAATGCAGGTCCGTAGCTAAATATTAAATAATTAGCCCAGTGAAGAAAATATTATCACTAACCCGGGCATCTGTCCTTTCATATTGTAAACCCTTGGACAGTAAGATTTTATTGCACATTACCGTCTGCATAAAACCTTAACAACTTCTGCACATACCTCTGATCACCACCAGCAAAACTATTGCCACACATGACGAAACCATCTGACTAAAGACTAAATGTCGACATTGAAAGTTGTAAATTTTCAAGAAAATGTAAAATAAAAATTTTGCACTGACAGTCAACTAAATTTGCATTTCTTTCACTCTAGCTGGCATTTTGCAAGTTGCAAAGAGTTAATGAAACTGTTGACATTAATTATATCAGGACAAACTTACCCATCTGCCCAAGGCCTCCTTAATGGTTGTTCCTTTAATCTGTAATGAAAAATTGATAGAAATAGGATTTCATATTAAGGAACCTACAAGCAGTTAAGAATATAATTAAAATGATCATGACCATCAGATGAAAACACAATACCAAGGTATTAATTTGACAATACAAGCGGTCATAAAAAAGAATTTGGCAATATTACTATATTACTTTTTGCATACTGCCAGCTTTGGTAATCTTTAGCATCTTTCTATCAGCTTTGCTCAAGTCAGATTAAAAAGAAATAAAGGAAGGAGGGGTGAACTGATTCAATATACATACAGACATGGATATATATATATATACATTATTCTTTGGCTTATGCATTTTTAGGAAACATTTGTTAAATATGAATTTCAACAGTGATTTCTTTAGACATGCAGATTACCAACCAGCATTGTTTATGTACACAGATAGATCTATGCAAAGCACATTTGACTTAGACATTTTGGTTCTAGATAATACCCCCCCCCCCCAAACTTAACAACACAATATACAGTTCTTCTTCTTCTCCTTCCTTTAATGGAGAATACTCTATCTAGAGTGTTGAGTTCTCCAGCGCGACCTATGCCGACCGCAGCTAAAACCTCTGTATGTACAGTTTAAAAGAGGTAAAAACAGTGGGGTCTACATAGCGTATTGGTGGTCGGCTGCCTCGTACTGTACGAGGGCGTGCCTGAAGCTATCAAGGGTGGGAGACGATCGTATATCGGTAGGGATTGCATTCCATGTGATGATGGTACGTGGTACAAACGAGTATCGGTATGTGTCAAGCTTTGTTGGAATTTACCGTATGTTGTTAGCAGTAGCTCCTCTGGTTCTTCCTGATGTTACGGTAATGTCCTGGTGTATTGGTACCTCAACCAGATTGTTGATAATTTTGTAGAACATGAGCGTCCTGTTTCTGGCTCTTCGTTGCTCTAGTGGCTCCCAAGCTAGTTGACGCAGCATGTTTGTGACACTTCCTGGTTCCCTGTTGAAGTAGTCCCCTGTGGCAAATCTGGCAGCTTGTCGCTGGACTCTCTCAAGTTGGTCCTTCTGTTGTTGAAGATGGGGATCCCAGACAGTGCAGGCATACTCAAGTATGGGCCTAACGAGAGTAGTATAAGCCTGGGCATTGACTTCTCTTGTGCATCCCCTAAGGTTTCGCCGAAGGAATCCAACCGATCTTGCAGCCTTGGCAGAGGTTTGGTTTATGTGCTCACGCCAGGAGAGATCCGAGCTGATATAGGCTCCAAGGTATTTGCTTCGGGGACAGTCTCTAGGGTTTGGCCCTGGAGTAGGTAGTCGGTGTGGATAGGGTTTCTGTTCCTGGAAATGTTGATGGTGATACACTTGTCCGGGTGAAACTCCATCTGCCAGTCTCGCTCCCACTTTTGCAAGGCATTGAGGTCGTCCTGTAGGATGGCAGTATCCTCACTCTTGTTGATGATGCGATATATGGCGCAGTTGTCAGCAAAGAGTCTGATTGGAGACTGTACGACATCTGGTAGGTCGTTTATAAAGGCCAAAAACAAGAGCGGGCCTAACACCGATCCTTCGGGGACTCCTGAATCTACCGATGCCTCTGAAGTTGTTGACTCTTCCACTAACACTCTCTGTGTCCTGTTGCTTAGGAAGCTGCTTATCCATTCTAATGTGTGGTCGCAGACTCCGTAGAAGGCTAGCTTGTGGAGTAAGTGTTGGTGAGGCACCTTGTCGAAGGCTTTGGAGAAATCCAAGAGGATGCCGTTGATTTGTGTGCCTTCGGCAAGGCCCTTCGCAAGCTCGTGCACGGTGTAAATAATCAGCGACTCGCATGAGCGCCTACTCCAGAATCCGTGTTGGGCTTCTGTCAAGATGGAATGATGGTCTAAGTGACGTATAATGTTGGAGTGCAGGATGTGTTCCTGGATCTTGGAACATATGGCAGTAAGGGAGACCGGTCTGTAATTGGAGGCCTTGCTCTTGTCGCCTTTCTTGAAGATCGGAACCACTTGCGCCTTTTTCCAGTCTTCCGGAACCATGCCTATGTTTAGGGATTTCTGATAGATATGGGAGAGGGCAGGAGCAATCTCGTGGGCCATCTCCTTCAGAAGACGTGCTGGGACAGCGTCTGGCCCTGTCGCCTTATGTGGCTTAAGGTTCCTTAGCAGCTTCTCCACTCCTGGCCTAGTAATTTTGATGGGGGCATGCTGCTATAAGGGCTATCTCCTTTATCTGGGGGATTGCTCAGGTTCTCCTTGGTAAAAACAGATTTAAACTGAGAGTTTAGGATGTCCGCCTTTGTCGTAGGGTCATTGTGAATGAGTCCATCCTCGTTTCGCAGGGGAGCTGTTCCGGTGGACTCTTGTTTCTTCCCCTTGACAAACGACCAAAACTTCTTGGGGTTGGTCTTGGCGTCAGGGCTGATGATGTCCTGCATGTAAGTGTTGTGGTCTTGTCGGATACTCTTTTGGCAGGCAGCCTTCAATTCCTTGTAACGCCGGACATCATGGGGGGTGGCTAGTTGACTTTGCTTTCCTGAACGCCCTGTTTTTCTGCCGAGTCAACCTTCTTGTGCTGGTATTTATCCATGGATTTGTAGGCCTTGATCTTGTGAGTTTGTGTGGTACGTGGGTGTCCATTAGGGTTAAGACCCCATCCTTGAAATCTAACCATAAGGTGTTAATGTTGGTAAATGGTGATTTCAGGAAGTTTTCCACAAATGCTGTGGTGTCCTTTCCAAGTGAGGTGAGCTAGGTCAGCTTGATCCCACATGTAGATGGTCCTTCGTGCAGGCTTAGATCTCCTGGGTTTAGAAGAAGTGTCAATCAGGATGGCATTGTGATCTCCGACTCCAGGTATGGGCTTTCACTTATCGACTAGGGAAGGATTATTGGTGAAAAATAGGTTAAGGGTTTTATCTCCGCGGGTAGGGAAATTAACCGTCTGCTCTACACCACACTCGTTAACAAGGTTGAGATAAGCGGTTGACACAGATCGAGGATATTGGTTCGAGGTTATGCTGAGAGTGGACCAGTCTATGTGAGGGACGTTAAAATCCCCTCCAATCCAGAAATCGCTCTTTTGGTTCTCGGCTCGTAGTCTTTGTAGTTCCTCAACTGCGTGGCGAGTGTAGGCATCCTGCGTTACACAATCACTATATATTCCCAACAAACAGTTTAATCAATGGTTATAAGAGCGCAGCTCTTCTTGCGCCAAAGGCGCAAGAAGCAAAGCTTTTTTCCGGTAACATGTACGACCAATTGAAGACATGGTAACGTCGAAATACTATGCTTCTAAAATCCTTCGTCACGGAAGTAGCTAGTATAGAGTTACCGCGGTCCAATTTTAACAATGCTGTTCAGCTTTGCTACACATTCACAAAAATATCTCTTTATTTGAGAATTTTTTTCTGTAAATTCATGACATTAAAAATTATAGAAACTGAAGCTTCTTTCAAATATTCAGTCTTTTCTTCTCTCCACCCAAACCGGAAGTATATAGTAACTACCAAACCAGACGGAAATCCGGATATGTTTGGGCTATTGTGATTCTCTTTTTACACGATTTAGAGGGATCAGGCAAAGTATATCATGTCGGAAAATAAAATTGGAATTTAATCACCAATATACTTAACTTTTATAATAGAAGTTATATTTGATAAACAATACATCTTCAAATATGAAGTCCCCCTACTGGGCCTCACTGTTTCCGCAACATTACGCTGAGGCCATAGATGGGGCAATTAAATGCAACAGTACCAAATACATTTGTGTTTTCTCTTGAACTGCATAATTCATTTGAATGCTTTTCTTTACTTATTATAAATTTTACATTTATCGCTATAAAACGAATAAATAGATAATATTTTAAACAATGTTATTTAGAAAATAAGATTGAAAAAACCCAGCATTTAGACGCCTCTCTCGTTTCAGGCAATGCCTGTTTTCAAAATGAATGATTTTGCCCATCAACAGATTCAAGTATATTATAAAAAAAACAATAACAGGTACATTTTGTATGTATTAAAATGGGTAATGTTATGATTCACAAATCATACTATACTATTTAAAAAAGCTGCGCTCTCTCCAGGCCATGCTTGAGTCATATTATATCATTAACGACTTTCTCATACCTGCCTTTATTTTGTGGGTAAAACAATATGTACCAACAACATTTTTCTTATTCGACATACGCAAAATCAAATGTCGATGAACTGCACATGTGTGCTCAGGGCCAGGCGATACTATAAGGGCATTACGGTGTGCCCGATATTTTCACAACACAATATCGAATCAATTACAGCAAAACAAAAGATGTAGTTACATTATGGATGGAAAGACCGTGCTGACATCAAGTTATTTCTATGAAAACGATTGACGTGAAGCTAATGAAAAAATATACCAACCATCTTGGAAGCTTGTTAAGTTGTTATGGTCACGTTGTCACGTGACGGAGCTAACATGATAATATATTTCATCAAAATAGGCAACCCTAATACTTATGGAAAAGATGCATTAAAATAAAAATAAACAAAATGGAAATGCTATTTTATTTTACTCTTTTAGAAACAAATCTACATGGCAGGAACGGGGCAACGCATACACACGCATGATGGCTGCCCTTCGAAGGTGCCTGAGTAAACTTAGGATAAACTGTTCTCGCTATGCATTGTACCAGAGTGTAAGTGTTAGTTAGCTTTTAATAACATGAAATAGATTATACCTTAACAGCGGGCACACATGCAATTAGTGTTTCCTTCATAATTTAACTGTTAAAGTTGCAAAGTATAGCAATATCCTTATTTTAGCTATGCCCAACTAATTTTTTTTAAACAAAAAGTAATTTATTTCTTGTCATTTTCTTAGAGACTACCATAACCTGATTACAAAACAGCAATCAGAACCATGTTATCTTCAAATTTGGATTTTTAAGAATTTTTTGAAATCGTGAAATTACACAATTGTTTTTTTAGCATTTTCCTGAAAACAACCAAAAAAGCGTACAAGGTCAATAACATGGTATATATGGGAGAATGTTTTTTCTCTTTTTTTACCACAATTTCAGAACCAATCTATTCTATTGTAAAATGAGAGATTTTCATGCTAGATATCACCCCACTCCGGAGATGATGCTAACATGTTACTTCACAGAGAGTTACACCCTTACAAAACACAATGTATGACATTAAATAATCTCATTTAATTAGATATATTGATGCACCAGTCTCAGTGGTTATTGCACATCTTCTTTCTTATCGTTCGCCTTTACACTTGAATACCAGTCTCCTCAACAAATCTGGTGGTCTTCTGTGCTAAGGGCATCCACTGGTCCATATAACTTCTCTTTGAGTGGTGTTGGTGTTGCCATATCTTATCTCTCATGATCAGTGCCTGATGGATCTTGCATGACTGTAACAGGTGTGCAGTATCTTGCTCTGCTTCTCCACAGGGACACATTGGAGATAAAACAGCTTTCATGACTTTGTATAGATGTTGATTGAGTCTGTTGTGTCCTGTCGGAAGATGGTTTTAAGTTTGGTCAGATCTTGTTAGCTGGTGGTAACTGTCTTGTTGCTGATGGATGTTGAACAGAGATTTGATGATAGTCTTCATCTCTGTGTACCAGACTGGATTTTCTTCCTGTTATTGTTCAGCACCATTTTTTGCTAACTTATCAGCTTGTTTATTACCCCAAACTCCAGTGAGAAGGAATCCACTGTAGAACTGTTGTCAGCCTTTTGATGGTGTATAAAGCTTGTTCAAGTTGAGGTAGCTTGTCATTTGTCAAAGCTTGTAGCACAGAGAGGGCATCAGTCAGGAATACTACTTGAGTTGTGTACCAACTTTGTTTTTGATGGAGGGTGCAGCATGAATAAGGGCTTCTTCTTCAGCTTTGTAGTTTGAACAATGTAGGCCTGTTGATATTGCTTCTGATTGTTGATCTCCGTTGATCTCCGTTGATCTCCGTTGTATATACTAGCCCCTCCTTTTGTTGTGGCATTTGCTTACCCAGGAGTTTGAATGGTACTCGTCTTCAAGCATACTCATTGTAATTCAACATGATCTGATAAGTTTTAGTCAGATAAATTATTAAAATAATATTTAAAAACAAAAAATTGTATGTTGATGTATTAATGTACATGGTGTATGATCTGACAAGTTTTACTTATATAAGAAATTAAAATGATATTGAAAAACAAAAGCATGTCATATCAATTAGATATATATATATTTAATGTAAACTATGTACAGACCAACCATTGTATAGTATTTGTATGTCAAACAACACTGAAACTCGAAATAAGTTTAAATTTAGGTATATTTAATTTCTAACTGTATCAGTGTATGTAAACTCAAGTCAAGACTGAGTGACAGTAACTTAATTTAAAATTTTAATCATTCAGAAACAAGTAAATAGTACCGAAATTTATACATACATACATCATTTGATGTTTAAAATATATACAGAAAACAAAGAGAACAGAAATGCTTTACACGATAGGTAAACAACCATTCATGCAGTATCCTTCTAGCGAGTTTTGTCTGGTACAGGTGGGATTTGTTTACGTTTTTGAGGCGTGTTGTCCGCCATATTGGATTTACCGTTATACTACCCCTTGGGATTTCAACAGCATTTTCCATACCAAGAACGGTTTTGACAGATTGGCATATATATATATATATATATATTAAGGGATAGTTACTGAACATTTGTCTATAAGTTTGATGGATGTACTCGGTTTTATAAGGAAATTGTCGCTTCTGCAATATTTCACAATCTCCGCTCCTTACGTTTCCGCCATGATATTTGTAATATAGACTGTAGTAAAGTGACGAGGGATATCGAAGATAAAATTCCTATCATGTATCCATTTCTATAACATGGACAAGCACGATAAAATCACCGTTCTTCCGATGGTATAAAAGTGTGACGAAATTTTGGCGCGACGCGAAAATTCAATTGGAGTTATCTCCCCTTAGCTTGGGCATAGCTACTTATTTTTTGTATGCTTTTTATCTCAATTTACAGTCAGAATTTCAAACATCTTTGGTTATGGCTGTTAGATTTTATTTGGAGGAGGGAGGGTAGGGGTAGCTAAGGATTCCTCGTCTCATACTTGCCAACTTTTTGAAAAGAGACTAGAATATGAAATAGGCGAGACCTAAAAAGCGGGGCACACATACATAAGGGTGCCTTGGTAGCCGTGCTACTGTGTGCTATCAAGCGTGAGCTTCAGACCACTCGCTCTCCCCAAGAATTTCGGTTCAATCCCCAGCGGTGGTGGAAATAGAGAGTGATGTCTGATAGGGTTAGTTGTTATCCTTCCAATGGCACGGTGGTTTCCCCCGTGGGTTTTCCTCCACCACGAAAACACCATTTGTTCCCTTAGCGGCATCGTAATAAAAGCTCTACAGAGCTTATGTTTGTTGTTGACAATTGTACACGACGTTAAATAAAGATTATTATTATTATTTTATACATATGAAATAAATGTTTCCTACATAATTTAACAGTTACATTTTATGTACTGTCAGTAGAGTGAACATCCAGTCCTCGCATAATTCAATGGATGTACCATCATATTTTATTCGGGGGGGGGGGGGTGTGTGTTAAACCAGGATCCCTCTTCCCCCATCCACATCCCCCCTTAACCCATGCCAGCCTGTGGTGTTTGATTTCAAAATATATGTCCTCCCCATACTGGGATGGGCAATTTCAGCCCATTTTTAGCTCACCTAGTCCAAAGTGCCATGTGAGCATATGCCGTACTGCAGGGTCTGTCGTCTGTCAACTTTTTCTTTTGAACGACTTCTTCTGAAGAACTGGAGGACATAGGGTCTTGATATTTGGCCAGTAGGTACCTGGGATGGAATGCTATAAAGTTTCCTCATTAAAATGACTTTGACCTAGTTCCAAGGTCACAGGGGTCAAATATGTTAAAAACTTCAAACAATAATATCCTAAGAACCATTTGGTTAAACGGTGGGTGTGGCTCCTCTGAGGGCAGAGGGGTGGGGCCGAATAGGGATAATAGAGGTAAAACCTTTAAAAACCTTCTTCTACCATAGGTATCAAGGGATTTCATCCAAATTTGGTCTTGAGCATTGTTGGGTCAAGGGGCCTCAATGTTGTATAAACGGTGCGTGTGGACCCCCTGGGGGCAGAGTTGCGGGGCCCAATAGGGAAAATAGAGGTAAATCCTTAAAAACCTACTTCTACCTTAGGGATTAAGGGATTTTATCCTATTTTGGTCTGGAGCATCCTTAGACCAAGGGGACTCAATTTTGTTTAAACAGTGGGTGTGGCCCCCTAGGGGCAGAGGGATGGGGTCGAATAGGGGAAATAGAGGTAAAACATATTATAAAACCCTTCTTCTATTGTAGGAATAGAGAGATTTTATCCTAATTGGTCTGGAGCATGCTTGGGCCAAGGGGACTCAGTTTTGTATAAACGGTGGATTGGACCCCCTGTGGGCAGATTTCCTTATTTTTCAATAGGGGAAAAAGAGGTAAAATCTTTGAAATCCTACTTCTACCATAGGAATAAAGGGATTTTTTCCCAATTTAACCTGAAGCATCCTTTGGCAAAGGGGACTAAATTTTGTATAAACGGTGCATTTGGACCGCCTGGGGCTGAGAGTTGCGGGGCCCAATAGGGAAATTAGAGGTTTAATAAATATTTGGCTGGTGACTTCCTGGGAAAGAGCCCAACAAAGTTTGAGAATGGAAATGACCTTGACCTACTTTTAAGGTCACATGAGGCAGATATGTCAAACACTTCAAACGACTTCTTCTGAAGAACTGGAAGGTATAGAACCTTAACATTTGGCTTGTAGCTTCCTGGGAAACCCAACAAAATTTGAGAATGAAAATGACCTTGACCTTCTTTCAAGGTCACAGGAGTCAGATATGTCTAACGCTTAGAACAACTTCTTCTGAAGAACTGACAGATATAGAACCTAAATATTTGGCTGGTGACGTCCTTGGAAAGAGCCCAACAAAGTTTGAGAATGAAAATGACCTTGACCTACTTTTAAGGTCACATGAGGCAGATATGTCAAACACGTCAAACGACTTCTTCTGAAGAACTGGAAGGTATAGAACCTTAATATTTGGCTTGAAGGTTCCTAGGAAGGAGCCCAATAAAGTTTGAGAATGAAAATGACCTTGACCTACTTTCAAGGTCACATGAGTCAGATAAATCTAACGCTTAGAACAACTTCTTTTGAAGAACTGGAAGGTATAGAACCTTAATACTTGGCTTGAAGCTTCCTAGGAAAGAGCCCAACAAAGTTTGAGAATGAAAATGACCTTGACCTACTTTTAAGGTCACATGAGGCAGATATGTCAAACACGTCAAACGACTTCTTCTGAAGAACTGGAAGGTATAGAACCTTAATATTTGGCTGGTTATTTCCTGGAAAAGAGCCAAACAAAGGTTGCGAATGAAAATGACCTTGACTTACTTTCAAGGTCACAGCGTTCAAATATGTCAAACGGTTCAAACTACTTCTGATGAAGAATTAAAAGGCATAATTTTATAATATTTGGCTGGTGACTTCCTGGGATATAGCAACATTTTAAAGGATTTGTTCTTAAGAACTAAAAGAAATGGATTCATTAGATTTGGCTGGCCGCTTTTTGGAATAGAGCTAACCAATTTGAGAAGGAAAAAAGACATTGACCTACCCACAAGGTCACAGGAAAAAATATATCAAGCAACTTCTGAAGAAGAATAAAAAAGCATAGAATCTTATAATAATATTTTGCTGGTAGTTTCAACAGATGGAGCCAACAAAGTTTGCGAGGGAAATATTTTTAGTGCAATGTAATATTTAATGAGAATATTTTGCTATGACTGCTTAAATATTCAGGTGAGTGATACAGGCCCTCTTGGGCCTCTTGTTCAATGTACATTCCTTTTTTATTAAAATCAGTCTGTTTAAAAGTGATAATAACGTTTCATGCTGGCCAATCGTAACACTTTTAATGAAGACATGTACAGTCTGTGGAGGATTATAAGACCCATATCGCTTTTCTGTTTTTATTGATCTGTTGGATTGCCTCAAGAAATCAGAAGAAGGTTTCAAATCAGTGGTTGTATGGAGTCAAAAATAATTATTAACATTTGCTTTCTTCAGATGGTACTGTTATGTACTGATATCAGTAATAGCCAATAATGAATACATCAAATTTACATATGAGGGAGAAACCAATGGCACAATGCCCTTCCTAGACACTCTACTGGTAAAGAAAGAAGAAGGAACCGTGAAGGTATTGGTCTATAGGAAAAAAAAACATAGGGATCAATACCTGTTCTTCAAATCTCACAATCCTTTGCATCAGAAGTTAGGTGCCGTACGCTCATTGCTCAACAGATGCGAGACAATAGTCACAGAACAACAGGACAAAATACAAGAGCAGAATCGCTAGGGCAATGAAAACCTTTGTATATCCGGAATGGGCCCTAACTGGTACAAAAACAGTGTCAAAGTAAGGGGAAGAACAAGAAAAGGCCAATCAAGGATAAGAACAAAACCAAAGGTCAAGTGGTCATCCCGTATACAAAAGGTATGTCTGAAACCATCCAGAGATAAATTGTGATCATGGCATAGCAACAGCCATGAAGCCCCACACGACATTTTGAAATAGGAAAGATATGGAAACCCAAGAAGGAAAGAAGTTCAGCAGATCAGAAAGGAAGTAGTTGGAGTCCCAGGTAAATAAATTGGCAATTCAATCACAGACCATGCCACACAGAAAAATCATGTGATTGACAGGGATAACTCCAAAGTTTTGGACAGACAGAGCAATCTGTTCAGGTGGCAGATAAAGGAAGCCATCTGGATACGTCGCAGTGGGCCAGTTCTAAATCGAGATGAGGGGGCTCATAGACTCTCGCACATCTATGACCAAGTGTTAAACAAAGCGCAGCTGAATTAAGTCATTCCGGTACATATATAACAGCTCATTGTACATATGCTTACAGCATAGCTGAATCGATACAATTTGTGGACAACTCGGACACATTTAATACCTTTGTATACATACGCTTCGCTGGTCATTTGTCTGATGAAGGTGACAGAGTATACACCGAGCTAGTCATCGAAACGTCACATAGAAACACGTAATAGTTGTGTTTCAAAATTCTTTTCATAAGAAAATGTACAGCTTTTATTTGAATGAAATGAATCAAAAGAATTGTTTTGATTGGTCATTACCAAACGTGATGTTTTTCACTGAGTGAAATAGACATCACTGTTGATGTTTGTTTTAGTGTGAAAGATATCATTTTCATCAAGTTGACTGCATTTGATGCATCACCTGCTAAATGTAAATGTTTTTTTCCTGCTATATGTATATTATTATTGTTGTTGTTTCTTTCCAGGGTTTGAAGCAGAAAGACACACAACTTCCAAGGCCCTTGACCAGCTATGCTAATGAGGGGAACAGTCAAATTATACATCCGGCTTCCTCCGCGTAAGTTGTCATATAAATTACCGTAATAAGAATGACAATTATGGTCAGACCACATTGACCTGTTGTGTTGACATTTAAATATATAAATTACAGGTAAGACAAAAGTTGTATACAGGAGTAAAGGTTGATGTGTCATTTCTGTATGTAACAGTTCAAAGGTGACAGCCAAATTTAAAACAAACAGTCATGGGGACTAATTGGTTACTGTTGCTGAATGCAAGATTATGAGTGATGTTATGATGGCTTTTGTTTTATATTTATACCCTGTTCAGACTTATATTGTGCTGTGTATATATTGTGTTTTTTTCATTTTTTTCAGTCTCACTAACTTCTGTCGCACCTGTACCACATCTGCAGCATCTGAAAATGTGAGTTTTATCTTACACCACAAAGAAATATTGATAACATTGATAAAATTTCACTATTTTTGAGATTAAAAAACAGGTAACAGACTGATGGAAAAGACAAACACCGCTACGATGACCTTTGACTCAATGACCTCAGAATTTTGTCACACTGTGACTTGCACCAATCTGACATCTGAGGTTAGACTTTTTCATGACCCTTGATATTTCTATATATTTTTTCCCTTGTTTATTTAGCCCCTACAATGGCAACAAGCAGCCAGAATGCAGGGGGTATTAGTTAGCCCATATACAACAGTTCTAGTTTTGGATTTGCAATAATGTATTAACTGTGTACAACTTGAAAACTAAACAAATATGTCCATGTAATACATGTATTTATTTCTTAAATATAGACCTACTGAAATTTTCATAGACCAAACTTTGTCCAAAACATTTACATAAATTTGATAACAGGAAATGAAAAAAACAATATTAAAGTGAGAAAACAATTAAGGGAGCTCATTTTTGCCCTATGAATCGAAAGATGGAATGTGAGCCAAATTATATTTCCCAACAATTTTCCAGAAATTAAGTTTGATCCTAAAGTCTAGATTGAAACCAGGATATCCATCATCTATATTTAATTATTTATATTAGATAATCACACTATAAGAAGAAATTATAATTTTTATCCCATTATCATGTTTCATTGCTAACAGCTGTGTGTTAAAATCCATTGTAAGTGACAGTCAGTATACATAAATTACAGTTTATTTTAGAAGTGTGTGTTTCATCTGTTGTCCAAAAATATTGAAGAAAAGCAAGAAAGCTTAGAGTAAAAAAATCACAGTCAAAGTATGAAGTATGTATAATGAAGTCGGCAAACACCGGCTAACATCGGGAAACTTCGTAATGTGGGAATTCCCCCTAATCATGACATCATTTTCTGTATGAGTAATTACCGCCCGTTGGGGAAACCCAGATTGTAAACAAATGGTGATTGTTCATTATTTGCACTGCCGTTTTAAGAAAATCTCGTCAAAGTTACTGTCAAGGGATTTGAAGTGTTTGTAATTCTTCATACAGCGGTGGACATGTGTGTTAAAGGGGAAGGAATTTGTGAAAATAGAGATTGTCCTCTTTATAACCCTTTCACTGCCACAGTGAAAACCCTAATTTTCTGTCAGGCCAAGATTTCAGCGTGGTTTTGAAATGTCCTATCATGACGTCGTTGTACTATGACATCAACAATTTATGCGTTGACCCAATTACGTTTACTCCGGAAACGTCATGGAAAAATACATTGAATAACTTTGTATTCAAACGATCATATAAAACTATTACGATCACCTAGAACCACATGTTATACCTCTATGGAAAGCTTAAATAATGATCGATTCTATATATTTGAATTCGAACTTTTCCAGTCTGACTATAGACTTGGTCAATCATTTCTGTGAAGTGAAAGAGACATATCTTATGGAACTTTTATGAAAAAAAGAGATGAAATATAAAGGGGAAAATAATGAAACAGGGTCCGAACTGACCTCGAAAACCCTTATACTATTGATCTAGCCAACTAATCTGAACAACAGTATACACTGGCTCAGTCGCAATACAGATAAAGTAAAAAAAAAAATCTAAGGTGGGGGTTACTTTGTGTAATAAAGTCTACTACGGAAAAAAGGCTTACATCACTGTAAAAGGTTTTTGTTAGCTATTGTTTCACCGAAAGCTACAATATATAAGATAGAAGTTTAGTTAGTTTGAAAAATGATACCAGATAATGTGTATAAGGGATTAGACACCTTGTCCTTGCCATGTGTCTACTGGCCGTATCCAACGTCATATCTCCGAGGAATTGAAAGTTCAAATACATCGCTTACAGCACGAAAGTTCGCAAATGGTTTCTAATATACTGACACCGTTGCTCCGAATTTTCACAGAAAGTCCAAGAAAAATAGATGAATAAACAAAAATTTCCCATACTCTATCACTTGACACCGAAACAGAAAGTAGAGTGGAGATGAAATTAGAATATTCAACTGCGTGAAATGCAGGAAACTGTACACGCAGTATATACTTTGGTGTCGTGATTTTGTTCTTTTTCCTTTATTCTATGGACGGGTATTTCAAAAAACAGGGAAAGCATGTCATCTTTTTTAAATATGAGCTTCAAGATCAGGTTCTTAGCTTTCCATTGGTATACGATATGTGCGTCTGCGATGCTGATATAATATTTTACAATGATTGTACTTTGAACATAAATCGCCTCACAGAACAAATAGTTTCCTGTTCGTCTCATGTCACATGAATTGATGACGTCATGGACAATGCCGAGCGTGACATCAAACTTTGTAAAAGTTGATCGGCCCAGATCGGCCCTGAGGCAGTCAACGTAAAAATCAGATTTGCCCTAATCGGCCCTGTGGCAGTCTAAGGGTTAACAGGTTGAAGCTAGGTAAACATGCAGAACGTTCTGGGTGGTAAGATGTGTGTCAGGTCGTTTTGTCCTCAATCCATTTCGCCCTGGGTTATTCCGCACTAAGTTGTTACGACTTAAAAACGTTTTTAGGGTAAAGTGTTTTGTCCTGTTTAGTTGTGTATGGTTAATTTAATATAATTTTTTCTATGTCTTCGTTACCTTTTTTTTGCAATAAGACTCTTTAGATTTCTTTGTGGTTGACCAAATCGACAAAACACACGCAGGCTAAAATATCACTATTTTTCGAAATTGACATAGGAAAAGATTGATGTATTCATATATTTGTATTGTTAGATGATGTATCAAGACAATCATGGTACCTTGAGCACATTACTTTCAAATATTTGATGTCAAGACAACTTACTGTGACACTTTAACTATCAAAAATGGACAAAATCGGTCCTCCTTAAAATGGGGGGGGGGGGGGGGGNCACGTACTTTCAAATATTTGATGTCAAGACAACTTACTGTGACACTTAAACTATCAAAAATGGACAAAATCGGTCTAACTTAAAAAGTGGGGGGGGGGTCGTAACTATACAGTTTTTTTTCATAAAATGCATAAAAACTGGAAAAATATGCAGTAAAAGCACATAAAGATTTGGGAAATACTTCACTGACGTGTGTGGAATTAATTTTTTTTTTTCACTTCCCAAAAAAATTGTATTATACATGTTAACATGTAGATTAACTGTAAGGACCTTTTCTTTTGGAACATTGTGAATTATATTTGATGTATTTACTTAAACAACATAATAAAAACATTTAATGTATGATATGGCAGTTTTTCAGCCCTTTGTACAGCTCCAATAAAATCTTTGTTCTCCTGTATATTATACTGATTTTACATTTCACAGAAATACCAATTACTTCGAATTGAAAATTTGCCCAAGTTGATCAGCAAGAGTGATGTTGAAACGTTTCTAGAAAAACATGGAGCAGTGGATTGCCGAAAACAAGGCATAAGAGCTATTGTTGTAAGTTTAATTGTTATAATGATATACAACATTTGATATAGCACCCTATCTAGCTAGAACAAGCCACCCTCTTTACAGTAAATAGATATACAATTAATACAATTAGCATATACATTAACCAATACAATTTTTGAGGAATTCGCAAGAGCTACCTTATTAGGAGCTAACTACTAGTCCTATGCCACCTGGTTAATACCTCCCTATGTGTGTATGCCTGCGTATAATTGTCATGATGATGATATATTATTGAAAGTTTAATGTCAACATGACAACATGACATCTATTGTTTTATGTTAACAACATGACATCTATTGTTTTATGTTAACAACATGACATCTATGATTTATTTCAGTCATGACAACAAGACATTTTTATTATATTTTACTGATACAATATTTTAATAACATGACATGAATTGGTGTAAGTTTAATATCAACTTGACATTTGTTGTTAGTTTATTTATGATAACATGACATCAATTAGTTTGAATAAACGTGGATTGTATTATAGCAATTCAGACTAAAAGTTGTAAAAAAATGGAAAACTCATTATTTAAATTTCCATAAAATGCAATAGTATTCATAAAAAAATCATTTAGTTTGAAAACTCAATAATTTGTCTTATTCCTGAAAACTTTCCATCAGGATATTGTACTAGATATGACACAGTCATATCTATATATCGTTATATTTTTATCTAAAAATTTCAGAAATTCTCTAAGCCTGAAATGGTCTATACAGCAGCAGACAACTTGAATGGAATTGTCTTTGAAGGATTCCAGCTGAAGGTTATGGTAGGTATACAGTAATGTAGGGCTTACTGAACTGAAGTTGTGGTGGGGAGTCTAGTATTCCTGTGTCAGATTTTTAGCCCACCATCATCTGATGGTGGCTAATTCAAATCACCCTGCGTCCGTGGTCCGTCCGTTGTCCGTAGTCCGTCCGTAAACAATTCTTTGTTATCGGTATTTCTCAAGAAGTACCAAAGGGATCTTTCTCAAATTTTATATGCAGGTTCCCCTTGGTCCTTAGCTGTGCAGGGCAACTTTTGAGACTGATCGGATAAACAACATGGCCGACAGGTAGCCATCTTGGATTTTGATATTGAAAGTTTGTTATCACTATTTCTCAAGAAGTACCAGAGGGATCTTTCTCAAATTTTATATGTAGGTTCCCCTTGATCCTTAGCTGTGCAGGGCAATTTTAGAGACTGATCGGATAAACAACATGGCCGACAGGCAGCCATCTTGGATTTTGATAGTGAAAGTTTGTTATCGCTATTTCTCGGGAAGTACGGGAGGGATCTTTCTCAAATTTTAAATGTAGGTTCCCCTTGATCCCTCGTTGTGTATGTTATATTTTGAGACTGATCATAAAAACAAAATGGATTAAAAGAAGAACTAAACAGATCTTTCTCATATTGCAATGATCAAATCTATTTCTTTCACATGAAGTACTGTACTAGTAAATATGTGAAATGACAAACTCACTTTGAAGGTTGGCTTTCATACACATCAGTATTAAGTTTAGATCAAAAGTTACCTCAAGGTGCATTTACTGTTAACATGACTCGATCAAACAGATTAGAGGAAAGAAGAGAAAAGATCGAACTGACAAAGAACTAATGAAGATGGTACAAAGGTGGGCGCCAAGATCCCTCTGGGATCTCTTGTTATATTTTTACTCCTTATATATTTATGTTTGCCTTGAATATGCACACTAAACAAGTTCAAATATGTGCATAATCAGCCAAAAGACAAAGTCATTGTTACCCTCCTTAAAATGAAATTTCTCAATCATAGCTTTAAATCACTCTAGCGGCCATGTTTCTTGACAGATTTCCATGTAACTTTAAATTCATGGGCATCATTGGTCATAGGTCACAGTTTTTGTTACTCATACAATAGAAACTCAATGTCACACTCACTTTTATAACTCGAGCAGTCATATTTCTTAACAGATTTCTAGGAAATTCACAGGTTATTTTCCAGGTTAGATGTGTCCCAGACAAATGCAATAAACATGTTTATATAATTACCTGTCTATTTATCTACATGTCTACCTGTGTATTTATCTACAATAAATATGTTATCTGTGTATTTATCTACATTAGCACATGGTTACCTGTGTATTTATCTACAATAGCACATGGTTACTTGTGTATTTATCTACAATAAAACATGGTTTCCTGTGTATTTATCTACAATAGCACATGGTTACCTGTGTATTTATCTATAATAGCACCTAGTTACCTGTCTATTTATCTACAACAGCACATGGTTACCTGTCTATTTATCTATAATAGCACATGGTTACCTATCTATTTATCTACAATAGCACATGGTTACCTTTGTATTTATCTATAATAGCACATAGTTATCTGTCTATCTACAATAGCACATGGTTACCTGTCTATTTATCTATAATAGGACATGGTTACCTGTCTATTTATCTATAATAGCACATGGTTACCTGTCTATTTATCTACAATAGCACATGGTTACCTGTCTATTTATCTATAATAGCACATGGTTACCTGTCTATTTATCTATAATAGCATATGGTTACCTGTCTATTTGTCTACAATAGCACATGGTTACCTGTGTATTTATCTACAATAAAACATGTTTACCTGTCTATTTATCTACAATTAAATCATTTGACTATCTGTGTATCTCCTTAGATTTGGCCATTTTACAAGTGTATCTAAGAAATCCCAGCGAACCGAAATACCTTTTTAATGTGTTTGTTATAACTAATTTGATATAAATTTTTCTACATGGTGTAATAAATAGTTCAGAAATTTAATTAAAATGTTACCAAAGGGTTCAATTAAGTATTCATATTGAGTTTGTTTGTAGATATGGTAGGGCTGCAACGATACACATACTTCACGATACGAAATGTATCACGATATAATGCTTACGATATGATATGTATCACGATATAATGCTTACGATATGATATGTATCACGATATAATGCTTACGATATGATATGTATTACGATACAAATATCTGCTCAATAGGTCAGCTTCATAATGATTGAGTGCAAGTTTTATTGAGTTTTGTCATAGACTTCAGTAGTTAATACTACTGCAATATATTTGTGTAGAATTACTAGAACTTTTGGGTATGGCTGCACACAGTGGACCACATATTTCCTGAAGGATTTAATAAGTACACTGTCTTAGAGTTTGATACAAATTGATTGATAAATTAAGTACTGTTAGTGTAATGCAATGTAGGAAAACAAAATGTTAAGATACACAAGAAGAATCTCGATATGATACAATATATCATTGCAGCCCTAATATGTGGTGCACATCCACACTTTCCCTTCATTTGCGGTAATACGCATGCTTGTTGTAAAGATGTTGCTCATACAAACTACCTAATAAACCTTTAAGTTTTGCTTCCTTGAAGGCCAGCGAGAACAAATGTAAGCTGCGTATCCTGAATGTACCCGAGGAATGGGATGCTGCCGAGCTGGAACAGCTTTGTAAACCATACGGAGAGGTCCTTGATACCAGCATCAGTTCTGTTTGGCTTGCTGTGAGTTGTTTGTCATACATATGGAATTGACATTTTTGAAAAAGCAAAAATCAAAACCATACTTAGAAAATGTCTTCCAAAAGGAAACTTAAGATACAAGATGGTAGACTCTGCGGGCAGATTATTTAGTCTCCAAGGTTTGATGGTCACAGTTATCTCTTTTGAGTAGTGGCAAGGTTTATAATATACTCATTTTTTTTTTTTTTTTTTTTTTAAATTAACCAGTACCCTTCTTAACTTTGAAATTCATAAATTAAGAGGGATTAATCACCTGCCCCTCTATTTTAACAATAGTTAAGAAAATTTTGATTTCCGACTTTTTTGCCCCTGGCATCACTGAAGAATCCTAGAAGGATGAAACAATATTTTAATAACATGACATGTGATGCTGTGTAAGTCATTTTTGTCATACTGTATCTATTAACAAACCTTAACCCTTTCACCACTGTAGACCATAATAGACTCATCCAGATCAATGTATGGTAGAGTCTACTAAAGTTACATTGGGGTGAAAGGGTTAAAGGAGCAGTCCTCTGTGTGTGCGCACGTTATGTTCATTTTTGTTATACATATAAAAAACATCTTTCACAAAATCACTCATCTCAGGGTCTATATAACATGTACGCAAGATGAGATCATGATGAGGTAACATAACGTTATAAGACACTACATTGATTTCGGGAAATAGAGATGGTGAGATTTAAAAAAAATTGCTATAAATAATAAAATAATTTTCATCACACGAGTCTCTATATTTAAGCTTTTTTGCCATCCGCCATCAGTATCTGGAACTCCTTGCCTGACAATGTTTAGAATGACCATTCAATCTATAAATTTAAAACCTATCTAAGCAAGCCCGCTCACAAAATTCCAATTTTCTACTTAAATGGTACCAGACTGGGGCAGATATATCATGCTAGATTAAGAATGGCATGTAGTTCCATAAAGTTTTATCTGTACCAGAGAAATCTAATTGATAGACCTCTGTGTTCTTGCATGCAAGCAAATGAAACCAACGAACATTATCTATTACATTGTTGTCTTTTTTCTCAACTACGTTTACATAGATTTAACGAAATCATCCACTCTCAACTAATTTAGTTTTGTTCAGGAATGATGAGCTTACAGATGATGAAAATGTTTTATTTTTTTCATCTGTACAAAACTGCATCATCCATTCTAAAAGATTTGACTAAGTTCTATTCATTATACAAACGATCCTTTGTTTCACATCACCTATATCCTCTCCTTCTATTCTTATTGGCACGGGCATCTATATCTCCACCCAACCACCAACCCATCCTTCTTCCATAACTCACATTTCAAATATCCCCTTGAACTACGTTTAAAAGTAAGTTACTGTTTTAAGTGTTTATATTTCTTTCCATAGAATTCAGTTATTATGCCATCATGCCTTAATTTAATTTATTGAGATAAATTCCTGGAAATGGATTTATATAACTTATTTCAACTTGTTTCTGGATCCCATTCCTCTTTACTTTGTATGTTATGTGGTGTGATGCAACTTAATGTGGAATGAAATACAGTTTATATTAAAACATTTGCAGCAATGGACGTTAACCAAATTTTTTATCGTCGGAGATTTTTGAGATTATTCAGGGTATATATTTATGTTGCTTTTCTTTTCAGAACTTTAACTCTGCATTAGACATGGAGACTGCTGCCAGTGTGTTGCAAGGCTCCACTTTTGAAAATACTGTGATTAGGGTAATGCATTTTTAGCTCACCTGGTTCGAAGGACCATAGTGAGCTTATGCCGTGGCGCAGCGTCTGTCGTCTGACGTCCGTCGTAAATTTTTTCTTTAAAACCTAGGCCTATCTCCTTCTAAATGCCAAAGAGGATTTTAACCAAATTTAGTCTGAAGCATCACTAGGGGAGGGCAATCATTTCTTAAATAAATGAGGTTGGTTCGACCCCTTGGACCAGGGGGGTGGGGCCCTGAAGGGGAACTTAGATAAATTTGCTTTAAAATGCATCTTCTACTTAACGCCAGTGAGGATTTCAAACAAATTTAGTCTGAAACATCACTAGGGGAGGGCAATCATTTCTTAAATAAATGAGGTTGGTTCGACCCCTGAGGCCAGGGGGGCGGGGCCCTGAAGGGGAACTTAGATAAATTTGCTTTAAAACGGATCTCCTCCTAAACACCAAAGAGGATTTCAACCAAATTTAGTCTGAAGCATCACTAGGGAAGGGCAATCATTTCTTAAATAAATGAGGTTGGTTTGACCCCTGAGGCCAGGGGGGCAGGGCCCTGAAGGAGAACTTAGTTAAATTTGCTTTAAAATGCATCTCCTCCTTAACGCCAGAGAAGATTTCAACCAAATTTGCTCTGAAACTTCATAGGGGGATGGCAATTATTTCCTAAATAAATGAGACTGAGACCCTTGGGGCTAAGAAGACCGGGCCCCAAAGAGGAAAATTATCTTAATATTTTGCTTTAAGACGCTAATACCCTAATTGCCTGAGTGGATTGTACAAAATTTGGTCAAAAACATTATTGAGGAAGAACAAACATTTCTTAATTGAATGAGGTTGATTTGACCCCTGCGGTCCTAAGAAATGATACAGCTAGATTATCATATTCTATGGTGTAGCTTTCATAAATTATTAAAAATTGGTTTCTAGGTTTATAAAAGCTTATAGTTGACTGAAAATAGAAGTATTGTCTAATTACACCCTGTAATATGACATATGACTTATTTCAAAATCTGTTAACATGGCAATTCAATGGAGGCCTCTGATTAGTTGAAAGTCAGGTATTGTGGTCCCAGTTGGGTTAGAACATAGATCTTGTCTGGTTTTGAGAAAATTTTGTATAAAACTGTACTAATGCATTCAGTTGTAATGACTTAAATATAAAACCAGGTGAGCGATACAGGTCCAATGGACCTCTTGTTTCTATTTATCCTATGATAAGCTCAGGAGGCCAACACATAATCTCAAACTTAAAATAGGCAGCTGAACTTACTTAAAACAAAACAATATTTTTTTTTTACATTTCTACTTAACTGCAATAGATATGTATTGGCCTATTACCAGGCATCACTTTAGCTGTCATATGTTCATTCATTAACATTTTACATCCTTGACTGCTCTTAATTTGGGCATATTTGAAATTAATATAATTATAAATTGCTACACTTTATTAGTATGTGATCAAAAATGGCCTTGTAGGCCCCCATAAGGTGTTAATTTTGAGAAATTTTCTAAAATCTTCTTCTCCGGTTAAATTATAGAGGATTACTTATTCTCACACACGTCATAAATGATGAATTATTTCCATATATAACATGCGTGGTCATGAAAAATTGAAAAAAAATAAAGTTTTTTTTTTATATATTTCAGGCAAAAGCCTGTAAACTGGACTCCAGAGAGAAAGGGCCTGGTAAGGATATGTCATGTGATCTGTTAAGATTATCTGGTATTTGCAATGTTTTGTTTTTGTCAAGCATTTTTCGAGAAACATCATTTCTGTTCATCTAAACTTCAGTTGTAATTTATGGTTTGACAATTAGGGTTTGAAGGTCAGTGTAAAATATGTGCAGTATGACCAATTAAAAGGTCGTTTCTTGGTCAATCTAGGTTTGAACCAATTAAATTATGCAATTGGGCGTAATATTTTTGAAGCAGAATACCTGCAGGAAGTCTTGTTGAAGTTTTGAATCAAATACAATCAAATATAAAAAATGATCTGTTAATGAGTTTTTGTGTTTTTAGGTCCCTACGATGTGTTCCGACAGAGAGACTATACGCCAAGGGTCACAGACGACACACAAGACATGGTGACATTTTAGTCCATTTTCTCCTCGAAACATTGTACCCAATCAACACATTGAATCAACAAAACTACCATTTTTGTAACTGTAAATGATTAGGGGGTGTTTAACACAAATAAATGACCAGAATTTGGTTATTTCCTATTAAAGACCACTGCTGATAAACTTCCATGTTATTTTGTGCGGGAAAAAACATTCATTCAGGTGTGACAGGTACAATGTTTGAGCATATACCAGTAAATGTAACTTGTCGAAGCAGTGAAGAAAATTGAAATTGTATTGTTTATGTGTGCAAGTTATTGCGAAAATTTCTAGAGAGTTGTTTCACACTATAAATGAAAGCTATTGGTGAAGGGTGATAGCCCATGGTTGAATTTCTTACCAAAAAAATGTTTGATTTTTTTCCCCTAGACCACAGAAAGTGACGGGACTGATGAACTCTACCGCAGTGTTGTCCTCGAGGTTAAAAGTCACGACGTTGCAGTCTTAAATAGTTATACTGCATTTGTGAAGATAACTACTAGATTTCTTAACATAAATGTTGTAAAGATGTAAGTTTGAGTGATGAAAGAGATGTTAGCACTATGTAATAGGCTTAATAATTGCAGGCTTATCTTCTTGTATTACATTGCTATACATATGTAACTAAATGTGTTTCATATTTCCAGATAGTTATAAACAACAAAATTATATTTACTATGTTTTTTATGTCTCAACCATGAATATTAGAACTATTCTCGATATGAATATAAGGATTGGGGAATGAGGCACTTTGTATTGCATAATGCTTAATCATGAGCACATTTGAGTGTGGATGGTTTTGGGTCCAAAATAATTGAAATGAATAAAGTGGACCCTAGAAAAACAGCAATTGTATATTTCATGATTTATATTATTTTATACATATATTTCTGTTTTACAGATACACACCACCAAAAGCGATTTCAAAATACACTCTGCTAAAGTCAGTCCACATTTACAAGAAACATAGGGTGCAGTATGAAATGAGGACTAACTTCCGTGTCATAGAGGTAACTATAGGGTGAATCAGTTGGAACCATGATCATCAGATGGCGGGGTACCCGTCTGTCCAGTCCCACAGGGACCTGAGAATTTGTTACAGCTATATTTGGACCTAAACTAAGGTGTTCAGAGTAATTTTACGTGTTTTCGGGGTTTAAATCGACTTTTGGTAAAAATGTACCCCCAAATGATCATATACACGAGAAGGGCAGAAAGCTCACGATGTCGAAAAGTCGACCCCACCTAACTTTCTTGCATCAAAAACAACATTTGTAGTTGATCTACGGGAAAACGCTTAGTACCGTTTTAAAGATGGCTAATTTTTCTTTTAAAAACCTCCTATATGCAGGTAAAATGTATTCTCCTTCCGTAGACATGATCTCTGTTTCCTTCAATAACACACTCCATATTTGTATCTTAGTTTTTCGCAGTCAACGTGCCACTTATTAATGAGGTTGACGTCAACCTCGTGCCGAAACATGCAATGTTGGTTGGTTAAGCGAAACAATGGCTGCGCTTCCAGCCAATCACACCACAGGTCTCGGCACATGGCCAACGTCAATCTCAAATTGCTTGCATTACTTGTTTCTTAATAGAAGCAACTCTACATATGCAAGATTAATAGAATCTATTACCAATTTGGGGATGAGATAGGGGAATCTCAACCTGAGGAGGGGGGGGAGAGAGATTATTAAGTTGCTAAACACGAGGCTTTGCCAAGGAATCTTTCCCCGAGGTTCGAGATTCCCCTGTCTTACCGTCAAGGGGGTGAATGATTCTTTTTCTCTTTCCCTGTTCACCCATTGTGAATCATTTGCATATCATAGTGTTAATGTTTCAGGCTAAATTCAGGGTTGATGTGACGTTTATGAATTGTTGAAGTGACGTCATTGTATTGTTGACGTGATGTCATACCATTGTTATGAATAGGGGAATCCCCCCCATCTCAACCCTAGGGTGAGGGATACACCTGTCCAGGGTAAGAGAAATACATGTCCCATACAATGTTTGTATCTTATAGGTGTACACAATGACATCACATTGTCTTAAGTTTGATGTCAAGAAATTATTGTCAACCACACACAAAGAATTGGCAATAAGTATATTTATTATATTTTACTATGAAGATGTAACAGGAAAGAGAGTAGTGTGCTTGTACCAGGGATCAAACCTGTGATCCCTAGGTTCCTAGTCAGATGCTCTCTCTACCACTGAGCTAAAGTGGAATTCCATATAGGGCGAAATTACAAGGCAACCATAATCTTATGTACAATTAAGATTTTCAATATTTTTTTGATTTTGTATTTTTCAGTTGGAGAAATTAACAGGATCCACAGCAAATACATTTCTTGAGTATATAGAACGGAACCTCCCAGAGGGTGTAGCGATGAAGGTCACCAAGGTAATAAAGTATTTAGAATGACCTACTGACTCAGTTTTTGAATAAAATTCTGGTGGGATTATCATTTACAGTAGATAAGAAAGCTCTAGTACAGAACACAATTTTCAATAAACTATTCATGTTTAATACCCCTGGTCTTCAAGTGATCTGGAATATATCTTGTATGAGAATAGTTTGTGGTTACTGAAAAGAGGGTGGTTGTCATGTTGTTATCTTCTGTTGCACTACATGTATTTATCGACTACATTTTCAAACTAAAAAAAACAAAAAAACAAATCTGATTTCCTGATGGAGCTTGATAGTGCACAACTTACGCCATCTGAAGTAAGATATTACTTGCTACTTGTCCAACTTTTCAAAGAAGAACTTTGTTTTTAGCACTTGAACAACTTCTTCTGAAGAACTGGAGGACCTAGGGTCACGATATTTAACGAGTAGGTAGATGGGGTGGAGTGCTATAAAGAGTCCTCATTAAAATGACCTTGACCTACTTTCAAGTTAAGTTTGATGTAACAAAAGAAACAGGTGAGCGATATAGGCCCTCTGGACGTAATAAGCTGGTTTACAGATTTTATTTTGTTCTCATTGTAGTTTGAACTGCAGACCCTCCCAGAACATATAGTGCCACCTCAGCCGGAATTAACAGCATAGCAGCAATATGTGCACATGCATATGTTAAATGGACAATTTATATTTAGTGAACTTGTAAAAAAAAGGTGTCAGATGTAAGGTCAAAATAAATATACATACGAACAGTTTTATATTGTGTGTAGTTCTTTGTTACATGTGTAACAGGAGAGGGAAAATGCACGGCAAGACCGGGGTTCGTACCCGGGACCCTCCGAACTCTTAGCCGGACGCTCAACCAATTGAGCTATCTGGTCGCTGACGATCGACCCAGTCCAGTTCCGCTACACATGTATAAAAGCTTACTTATAACTACTGCTCCGTCATTTGACTTTCAAATTGATTATTAGCCAATCATCATCTCCATCTGTGTTGCTTTAGCTCACCTGGCACTTTCCCCACTTGAGCCAGTGGTATATGGTGTGGCGTCCTTCATCCGTTCGTCATCTTAACTTTTTTTTTGAACATCGTACCAACTTCTGATGAATAACAAAGAGGCCTAGAGCAATGACAATACAGCCAGTAGGTACCTGCAAAATTACTTTTGAGAACAGTTCCAAGTTTGGCATCACTATTTCTCCAGCAGTACACGACAGATTTTCTCACATTTCATATGTAGGTTTCCCTTGTTCTTAATTACACACGTTATACCTGTTGATGGAATGAAAAACAAGATGACCACCAGGCAGCCGTCTGGGATTTAACGTTTATCATTCCTTTGTGTATTTGCCAGCAGTTCACTAGTTTTGCAAATTTTATTTTTAAGATTCAAGCCATATGATAAAAAGAGATTTTGAAATATGGCTGCCAGGAAACAGTCTGGTTTGTTATGAGGATGACAGTTTATTATGAAATACCTGTTTACAGCTTTCTAGAAAAATACACCCAATCAATATATCATATCTACATTTTTACTCCGAATGTGGAATTTCACCATAAATATTCCACACATGTACTCTTTTCAGTGGTGCGATACAATACTTGGTACACAGAACACCTACATCATGTCAAGTACACACCCTCCAGCGATAATACATACGTATAGTACACACCCTGCAGCAATGATACATAAGTGTGGTACACACCTCCAGTGATGATACATACGTATAGTACACACCCTCCAGCGATGATACATAAGTGTGGTACACACCTCCAGTGATGATACACATCACCATCAGACTGTATTCTGTGCACAACAATGTATCAATAGATGGTTTTGTGTACCACACAGTACATCACCACTGGGTGGATTTGTGTACCACACAGTACATCACCACTGAACTATCCCTGGCACTGGAGGGTGTTCTGTGTTACACTAATGTATTACCAGTGATTGAGTATCGCCACTAGAACTGGGGGTATTTTGTGTACCACCACTGGATGTTTCTGTGTACCACACATAATGCATCACCACTGGGTGGATTTGTGTACCACACACAATCATCATCACTGTGGTTGACCTGTTCACAATAAATTATCTTGCTTTGCTGTGTATAATAGATGAATGTATCATGAAGACATGCGTGGCCCCATAGCAATAGCATAAGAGTAAATTAAATAGATCCTTCTTCATAATCATGTCAAAAGTCTGAATGGTAGGTTTTGCACACTTTCGTGTGAATGAGGTAGTTTCCATTTTTCGTCGATTATAATTAAGCATGTTTAATTGTCTGGAAAATCTTAATTGAACACGGACAACTTCATATAAAATTAGCTTAAACCTGAATGATTGGAAATAATTTACCGCTTGCTCTAGTTAATCTATTTTGAAAAGTGATGTGGATAGCCATCTTTTGTTTTTAAAACTTTTTTTTACTCCATTGAAAAACTTCCCCATGTTATAGAATAAAACGGGATGTTTCACACGTTTGTTATGAATGAAAGATCTACTTTGTCGCTCCATAAAAATTAGTAGTTCAAGTTATTATACGCTCAATGCTCACTCTGCTTGGTTTTACATGAAGGACAAATTAAAGAATTAATTTGAAAGACAAACAATTTTATTTTGAAAAGTGTATACACTATTTAATATAGCCTTATGCAGTTCTTCAGATATTTGTCCTCTTGATGGTTCCTGGAAGGGAAAGAAATAAGTCGGGATTAGATTTTAAATTAATTTGCCAAGGAAACTCTTTTCAAGCAAAATTTCATTGTGAAAGCAATGTTTAATAAATTTTTCACAATAAAACAAAATTACTTTTTAGACAGGAACTTGATTCGTACCAAGAATGAATTATTTTAACAAATTAATAACTTCTGTTTCCCAATAGGTGTTATGTGTTACTTATATCGAGTTGAAGTTAAAACTACATACTACAGTACGGTAAACATTTTCCTCAAGGACAGTCACGATGGAGGAAGTTCCAGTTGATGGTGTCAATATATTATTCACTTTGAAGGTGTAGCATTCCAGACTACTATGTCGAAAACCAAGCACAGTCCAGTGTTGGTACCAAAATTGGAATGCCTATGTCAGTGAAACTGGAGAAGATTTCAAGTCTACTGCAAGCCATATTGTGGTGCAATTCCAGGCTACGGCGGCCAAACTGGAGAAGATGTCCAGTCTACTGTAAGCCATATTGTGGTGCAATTCCAGCCTATGGCGGCCAAACTGAAGTGGGATTCCAGTCTACGCCAGCCAAAACAGAAGGTTAAAGTTGACCACTTAGGGTAGTTTCCTGTCCCTTCAATATGCATGCCATGCCTTCCAGTCATGTTGGCCCCTCAACCATTCTCTCTGATGAGCAAAAAACACAGGCACACATACAAGAGGTTGGTGAATAATACATGAAAAGCAGAAATTAAGTGATCTGGAGAAGTACAAATCTATACATATCCAGGCCCCAGTTTCTATGTTCAATGTAATACTATCAGTTCTACTTCACAAATACTTAATTTTGCATTGCTTTTAACTTCTGTGTGAATGTCCTGTTTTATACAAATAATTGTTTGAATTTGCAATGGATGTCTGATTAAAGTGGTTTTACGTTAAAGCAATATCTCGTGAATACTTGTATTTATATCACGAAGTCCTTGGTTTAAAGCATTCCTTTGGTCTTCAAATTGCACAACAAAAGTAAAGGATGTTATAGTCCAAAATATATCCCGACCTATGGAAGGCAAAGAAAAAATAGTTATGGTATGTGATCCATCTGGAGGCAGCACTAAACAACTTCTCATGGTGTTGAGTAGAGACCAAAGAACAAAAACGCCCTCATCAAAATGGTCACAATTATCTTTTATGTTCTCATACATCTTGAACAACAACAGTATAACTGTATAACCCTAGATAAAAGCTTTTAAATATAAGTCAAATACCAAATTACTACACTAAATCAGTTTTTCTCCTTTTGCTGTGGGTAAAAAATTAATAAAACAAATGGAATTAGTTATAATGGGTGAAGAATAAAACATAACATCACAAATCTTATAATTTACAACCGAAACTGAATCTAATTTGGAGTGAGAAAAGAAAAAAAAGTCTTAATATATGACTTGAATTAATAGACCGGTCATATCTGTATCTATGTGTAGTGAAATCTGCAGCAACACCCTGGTGGAAGTCCACATCACATGTCCAAATCTGAGCCATAATGAGATAGCCAACCTCCCACACCATCTGGATGGTGGGTGAAATTTTCAAATAAAGCGTTACTGAAATTTTGGCTAAACGATCTAATGTTATAGCCGGCCCACTAGTAACATGGGCCTCCAAAAATGTTACCAAATATCTGCAGAATTTTACTAGCTAAGCTACTCATTATGGCCGTTGAAAGATTAAACATTAAATAAATCCTCGGCTCGCACGTAGGAATTGGATATGTGACCGCGAGGTTCAATATATTACCTTCACATCCGATCAGTGCATACCAAATTACTCTGTTGCTCTGTAGCGACTCGTGGTATTTTGCACCTGAATAGGCGACCCGTGGCAACTCGATTAGCAATGGCAGCATTTCCTCGCCCCGTTTCCTCGTACATAAGGACCAGACGGTCAATTCAAATCAAAATTGATATAACAAAAGCGAAGAAGTAAGTTACATGGAGGGATTTTATTCCAATATGACATCATCAATGAGGAGTATAAAGAATGACACGATTTTTGTTTTTTTCATAATTAGGCAGATGCAACATAAATGAAACGATAGCGATGATCACACACGATAAAAAGTTGACATTACATTTAAAAGATCCTCTGTACTCAAAGCACTGAACGAGATTCCTTGTACGATACAATTCAAATAGAATGCCCACAAACTGAGTTTTTTTTTCTACTTTGGAAAATTGAGAAGCGTTCATTTTAAAAATTGTAGTCCGTCTTTCCAGTTTGCTCGATTGTTCTCTGTTCAACACATGAAGTGCATGCCGCCCAGCGAATTACGATCCGTAAGCTCCGTTCATCCGCGGCTTTCTGTGATTCTGATGTTCAATAAGGTGCCGGTACGCGGCTTCGTGATGGAGGCGACATGCCACGACTCGTTCCGGGAGGTGGAGGCAATGGATAGCTGTATGCAATAAACAGACAAATGACCATGTATAGAACTCCATTACACGAGCATCACGTTCTTCAACGCGAATCTACTGAAAGCTCTTCATATCTTTAGATTTTCAGAATATACAGAAAACTCTTTTCGAGGATGCTGGCTCATCATTTCCAAAATCTTTTCACTTACTATACTATAATAGATGCATGCAGAAACATGACTCTATAATTAAAGTGTTTGTTACAATTTCAGGGAGAAACGTAATATTTAATTTGTGTTGTTTTAACTACTTTTTCAAATGCACATTCAATGGTAGTTTAATTTTAAATCATCTGATAAAAATTTACCATACTGCAAATTAGATTTGTTGACAGTGACAGAACTGAAATGTATAAGGTATAAAAATAAATTATGTACTTGAGATATGTGATAAGTGTCCAAACAAGTATAAATGAGCATTGAAACTTGATGAGCCAACATCCTAAAATACCATACTTTTCTAAACAAAATGAACCCATTTTATGTGTCCTTAAATAGGCTGGTGGCAAGAACTGGTTAAAAATTCCACTATTAAAACAACACAACAACACACAAGGGAAGGAAAGGAAATTCAACTGTACTTTATAATTATGTTGCTAATTTAGTATATTATCTGTCCAAATATTTCCTTTTTTCCAATCAAGTTCAACCAGTTATTAAGTCGTGACATACAGGTATAAATCTGGTCAATCTTCTGTGTCATTCCTCTGCAATGAAACCCCACACCATGGTTTGTTCTAATTGTGCACACAAAGGTTGTACAAATCAAAATTTCTGTGGAATTATATTGCTTTCCAATCTGTATTTTCAAACCACTAAAACATATTCTCATATTGCAATCCCTTTCTTAAATGCACCTTTTGAGTTATAGACTTTCACAGCGTAATATTAACCATTCATCAATCACATCAGGATAAGTGTTCCTTGATTAAAAGTACCATGAATACTATAATGTGCACAATTACAACAAAAAGAATGGGATAAAAACAAAGTCATTGACTACTAAATAACCATGACCCGATAGTATTTTCTACAAAATCAAACATTTGGATTGAATGACATTATGTGAACTTGGAGATATCCTTAATTTGTTTGTTCTCTGTTCTTTAGCAGTTACTTATGCAGTTATAGACTGACTTAGAACTTGGACATTGACAAGGCTGTTACAGGTACAAAGCCTCTCCCGGCACTGTTCCATTACAATTACCTTCGTCGGTCGTAGTAATCATAGTAGGGATCTCGGCTGAAAGAAAGGTACACAAAACAGGTTTAGTACATAGCATGTGCAACAATCAGTCTTTTTTTCTCAAGACTATTTTTGTTCTTTTATGTTGTTGTAGTAGTGTGATTTCATTTTATTTCAATATTTATGTTTTCATTTGTACATTTAGACATTAAAACCATTACATCTCGAGTTAGACCGAAAACATCTCTAAACTATTAGAGTGAAAAATGGACCAATTTCATTTTTTTCTGAGTGGAATCATGATAAAAAGTTCCTGTCAAATATAAAATACAAGTTTATTTTAATCGTTCTTCACCATCATTTTCATGTTATCAAATAATCTATCAACAGAAATCGACTGTGGCTCATAATTTGGAATTTTAATTTCAGGAAATCAATTCAAACAAGTATTTATTGTAATGGGGGACCATTACAGAAGTCCCCCCAAACTGCCCACATAGTCGCAAAGATACATCAGAAAAGGATCACAATGGCATAAAACACCTTCATACTAAATTAGAGTGAAATAGAACAATATCCGTATTTCGACAAATCTGAAGCCTCCATGTTGTTGGTATGGTAACGAAACTAATGCAGTTGAATTTGCAGTCCTCCAATACCCTATAAACATTTTCATAAAAATCAAAAATTAAATAAATTTCGACCAATCAGAAGCCTCTGTGTGGTTGCTATGGCAACGAAACCTATGTGGTTTAATTTGCATTCCCCTCATACCCCTATGTATCAATTTTCATGTAAATAAAACAATATCTAAATTTCGACCAATCAGAAGCCTCTGTGTGGTTGCTATGAGGTTGCTATGGCAACGAAACCTATGCGGTTGAATATGCAGTCCCCTAATACCACTATATACCAATTTTGATCAAAATCGAACAAAATCTGCCCCATAGTCGCAAAGGTGCCTCTGAAAATGATCGCAATGCCTTTTTACACCTACATACTAAATTTGTGTGAAATCGGACAATTTCTAAATTGTGACCAATTAAAAGTCTCTGTGTGGTTGCTATGGCAAAGAAGGCATGAGATTGCAGATGTCATAGTTGAGTTAGCGGTACCATCATATACCTACACGCCAAATTTGGAATGCATTGGAAAATATCTATAAAACATGTAAAATAGGATAGGTGATAATGGCTATCTTTAGCGAACACCTTTAGAAATTTTAAATTCCCAAAAATTTCAAAAATTCATGGCGGCCATTTTGTTGACGATGTCAAATTTTTGTATTCAACTTTAGAGCATGTCCTATACCAATACTTTCCTCAAACTTTTATTATGATGCGCCAAATATAACAAAAGTTATGGCTCAAAATGTTTTAGCCAATCAGAGGCTGTGGCAGCCATCTTGGATGGTAATCGGAAAACAAAAAGGTGTTTGCACATCTAGAGGCTATCAGTAATAATCTCTTACTGAAGTTTCTAAGAAAAGTGTCAGAAACCTTTACAGCGGAAAGCGGAAGAAGCAGAAGAACGGAGAATTATGATAAGCAGAATCGGAGTATAAACAACAAGTCCCCAAACGACTTAATTATTGTCAGAGGAAATCCTAACCTGGATGGTGGTGGTGACCGCCTGCCGTAGTACTCTGGTGGGGGCCTTGCATAAGGGTCTCTGGATTCTCTGTAGTATGGGTCCCTGGGTGGTGGTGGCCTTCTGTCGTAGGGGTCTGCGTAGGGCCTGTATCTGTCATGAGGGTGAGGAGGAGGGTATCGGTCCCTGTAGTAGGGATCATATGCATCCCTTGCATAAGGGTCTCTGTAATGGTCGTGTGGTGCTCGAGGGCCCTTTGGACGTGTTCTACAAAATACAACTAATTTTTTTCGGAAAACTGTTTTGCTGAATTACCATATTTGTTTCTTCTTCTGATAATAGGTTCAGCAATTATGGTTTATTATCATTCTATCTACATCCTATCACACGTGTAATAGGTTCAGCAATTATGGTTTATTATCATTCTAACTACATCCTATCACATGTGTTAAGTAAGTGAAAACAAAACCGAACATACATTTCTGTACTCTAAAGATATGAATTTGATTTTTGAGTAAGGTGAATATATTCAATAAATTCTCCAGATTACGACACTATTTGTGAAAATAGCACACCTGTCAAATACTAGTAATTCTCACATTGTGTCAAACATTAATCAAGTTAAATTTACCAACAAGTTTTTAGCTTGTATTTGATGCATGTTAACTCTACAGTCAATCAAATATAACAAGCAGGAAAATGGTTTAATGGGTCAGCTTACTGAAATCAAAGTAATTTTTAAGATTCTAGAAATATAGAAATGTGAAGCGATAGAATATCTTTGTACTTACGGTCCTTTGGGGCAGTTACTTGACCTGTAAATTATAAACAAAAATACTTTTTGACAACATCTGAAAACGAATAATGTACTTACGGTCCTTTAGGACAGTCTTTGGACCTGTAAATCACAAAGAAATGAAGTTACCCATCAAGCTACTTCACCATTCAATGTTAATAACCAGATCAAAAGTGTCTCCTTGGTAAATAGTCCTCATTGATAATCGAACAAGTTTGATAGTTTTAACATTTCAAAAAGTTTTTGCAACTCATACATTTCTTGCACTATCATATGATTTGTGAATGTGACTTTTTAAACCCCTGTTATTATTGCAAGTTGTAAGAAATAAAGCTTAAAGCTCAGTAACAGGTACAGTCAATTATCTTCAAACTAACCAGTGTTACTTTTTTTATTACAAGCAATTGCTTCAAATACAAATTCAACTCTTAAATTTTCCAACATGAATGTAAATAAATTATCTTTTGAATATTAAATGTTTGGATTTTTGGTGGTTTTAAAAAATGAGGTATGTACATCTGCACAAAAATGGCAGTTCAAAAATAAGCTTTACAGTTAATAACAATTCTATCAAAAAAAGGAAATTGTTAAATTGTGCATATGCTGTAAAGCACTCTCACCAAGATACCTTGGTTCTGATTACCAGTTTAACTGCATATTTTATGAAGCTGGGCGAGAAAGGATTTTCTGTAGGGTTACGCCTGTCAGCTCAAAAAGACGGTGGAAATCATGGTTAACCACATGGCGCATGCCCTTTTACACGAAACTCCCCCCCCCCAAAAAAAAACCCCAACCTAACGACTTGCTCTCCACTTACTGAAAGACTCTCTTTACTGGAAATTCAGATTTTTATTCTGCTAAAAAGCAACACTTCACTTAATATTTGAACCAGAATGTTTGTCAGACCACTTTTGGTCGGTGTCAGAGCAGTCACACCGGAAAGTTATTTTTGTAGTATAATCGGGACAAACTTTTCTGTGACCAGGATCTCACTCTGTATGTAAAGCGCTGTGTGATTTCATTCCAACAAGGAATACAAGTCAACTGTCAAGTAATCCCAACAACATAAATGGATTTATCAAAAAATCGTAACATATTGACTGGTATTGAATAATCATTTATGAAGCTAGGAATAATTTATTGGCCATGTTTAAAAGGTAACTAGACCTCTTCTGTCTATAGCAAATGTTGTTGGTCCCCTTTGCGGTCACTAAAGATGTGATGTTTGAATGTATTTCTAATCAAAGGAAATGTTTAATCTATACCATTTTTGGTCCTTAGTCCTTTATACGGTAAGAATTTGCATATACTTGTAGTGTAAGATGATTACATAAACATGCTTCATACCCTTGTAGAGCAAGACAACTTCTTGAACATGTAACATCAGACTTACCAGTGGCCTTCCTTTCCACATTTGTAGCATTCCCCCTTGCCTCCCATTCCAGGCTTTTGTCGCACTTTACTGTGGGACACCTGCAAAGTTAGAAAAGCATGATAAACATTCAACTTGGTATTTACATTACAGGTATAAACATAAAGTGTATGGTATTCAAATGTGTACAGAAGGACCAAACACATACTGTACAACAGGAAATGTTTGTTGTGTATAAACATTCGTGGTTGCTATTGAACCACAAAAATAAATACAACAACATTGAATAATAACCTTGTCTACCGTTTGTTAATTTAGGATATCCACGAAAGTTTGTACCACAAAATGATCTAAATGGCTTCAAACCATGAAAGAAAGTCCCCACAGACATTTCGTGTTACACAGTATAAGAATGGTACTTTCACTCAAAAATAAAATTACCATAGAATCGATTTCCTTTAACACCAAAAGACATGAACATATTTTTTAAAACTACTGGTATTTGACTACGTACCTCAACTTTCAAGGTTGACCCTTCAAATGGTGTGCCATCTAAATTTTCTGCTGCTGTTTTTGCCTCATCTGCATCCGCAAAGTGCTGAAAAAGAAGAAAATAAAATACATACCTACTGAATTGAAAAAATAGCAATGTAAAGTTGAAATTATCACAACGTTAATTTTCCTTAATTCGAAAATGTCACGAGAAGATGTTTCTGGCAAGCCTCTAAAACTAAACCTATCTAAGACAACATTGAATCACAATGAAAGTGAATATAATTCTTCACTCAAATTACCAGCATCAGTGTTACCCTTAATATAAGTGAAGAACATCTCCAATAGGCATTTTTTTTTTTAAATGTGGAAGATGCTTCAATTTGAATAAATATATGCAAATAATCACTCAATTTACCAGATAATCATTACTACATTTTACTTGTCATATCATGTATTTAAATATTTAAAAGCCTGTAAACTGGTGATACATCATTAATAAATATCCATCATTCATGACCTCAGAATGTGTAACCGGCTTTTCAGACGATGTAATTTTCACTTGGACTCAAGCTTTACTCCGACTTCACTTTATATTCAGCATTGTTCTTGGAACCCTCCATTCAACCCTGTAAAGGTCGAATATTCTTGACTACCAGATCGCAATTATTTTGTTCTGTATAATAATGTTACAATTCTGCTTGAGGACTTGCCAAGGTAAAATCTAAGTAACTATGACAGCTTTAAGGTTACTGCTAACTTACAACAAATCCATAGTTTCTAACAATGTCACATTCCACAACCTGTCCAAATGGTTCAAATAATTTTTGCAGTTCTATTCTTTTGCAGGTCTCTGGTAAATTTCCAACATACAGCTTTGTTGTTGTTTGGTTAGAGAATGGCATCTGTGAAAAAAATTTACACATTTTAATAACTTAAATATATACTCTTTTAACAGGAACAAGGTTTATAATTGAAGTAATTATAAATTCAATGCTAGATGGACATCAGCACATTTCCCAATCTGCTTTTACACCAATACAATACTTATATATTTTATTACTGTAACAAATGTTAGGTTATCTTCCTAGTCGTCCTCAAAATTTCAGGGCTATGCTCTCTTTGTTCTCTGCACCCCTGGAAAATGTCATGGCAAATCAAAGGCACTATACATGCCACCTTGCAGTCCAGATGATATAACTAGACTATTCTGTTTATTTGAATTACATCAACAGAATTATATGACAGGGTATTAGCAAAATTGACCAGTTTTGAAGTAGGGTGTTGTTCTGCTGTATTAATCTTAATAGGATGTGTGTTTCACCTTGTGATTGGTCAGAACTCATCAAATAACTAGAGTAAGGGTACATGATTTTGTACAGGACGTGATTTCTTACACTAAATAGATTTTTCTTATTTTTAACCGATCACTTCCAATGGAGGCATGAAATCGTTCCAACAGCAAACTACCGCTATTGTCCTTCTAATTGCTCAATATAGAATTTCCAAATAGCCTTGTTTTCCAAACGAAACTAGCGAGACGAGCTGTCGTCTGCAGAATGGGCCCAAGGTAACTTTAAAGCATTATTAAAAACAGAATCTAGCCAGTTTTCTCGAGATCATTTTTAGATCATTTAAATAAAAATAATATTTTACCATTTACATATTAAAGGAATGTATCAAAAAGAATTTCAAATATAATAAATAACAGCATTTTTTAACGTACACCTCCACTCAATAACAGGACAGCTATCGTAGGGAAGTCATTATTTTGAAACAGATCTTAAATATTTGTCTGTTTTTGGCCATTAAAAACTTTCTGGAGCATTCAAATTGTTTTATAAAACATCAAATGAAATAAATGCTACTAGAATATGTATAGTTGGTGTTGTTTTTTTTACACAAATTGGGTCGATGTCACTACCAACAAGGAACATGTTTTTAAAAACTTATAATTTGGTCAAAAAACATTTCTGGTCTCTGAAAATCGTCAAATCTGAATAAAATATATTGAATTCATTCAACATATACTTATATTTGCCATATTTACATACTTATATTTGCCATATTTACTAAGAATAGCACAACTGCAGAGTGTACGAAATCACGTCCCCCACTTCCGCGAAACGTAAAAGTAAATGATGGTAAAACAAATATCCCCTGCGCATATGACGTCGCATTACCAGATTCAGTGCAAATTGCCTACATCTTTTAGGTCAAAGTAGATCTTCTTGGAGACGTGTTTTAAAAAAATATGTAAATCTGCGTCAAAAGTGTACGAAATCAGGTACCCTCACTCTAATGGTGTGTCTCCAGTTTTGTCGTGACATCCACCAGGACTGGAGTGTAGAGAAGGTCAATGAGTATAACCCCTCCAGTTTAAAAGATTCTCCCTTGTATGTTATATGTAAGTGAGCAATATAACTGAACATTGAACCTTATTTAATAAACTAAAGAACTTTTGTTATCTTCTGTGTAGTACGGTGGTTCACCTTTTTTAATATGCTTTTTATGGTTTATTGCATTCTGGAATCTAAATACCCAATGTATTATAGTGCTATCTGACTGAACAACCATGCCAAACGAACCCAGAACGGCATTCCTCCCGGTTATACATGTACTGGGTAAACCAGTTGTTTGCCATTATTGCATTGACTAGTGTACGGAGTTGAAAAACCGAGATAGAGAGAGAGAGGGGAGGGGGGGAGGGGGGGGGTTCTCGTTTTTCAACTCCTTTGTGATCCATAATCGGAATAATTTCTTTATTGCAATGGACATTTTTACTCCGTTTAATCTTCCCCGACTTCCTGAAGAGTAAAGTATCCATCAATTTTGTTTTTGAAGCTCAGTTCGACTGACAAACACAAAAGAAATCATCTGAATGCCTATCGATATGGAGCATTTCTTACTCAAATTAAAAACGACTTATAAAGATTATCTCACAAACATGCAGAAACTTCTTTTGTCAAGTACTTGTCACGACCCGCATTATATACAAACCTTAAAGCTTTGTCCCGTTCTTTCACTGCCGGTCCGTAAAGATGTCTACCGACGCCTCAGCATGGACCGTGATCATGTGACCATTTACATCCGGGAGCTTCGTCAGGAAGACTATTTTGCTGAAAGCATAGGAAGCTTCACTCCAACCAGAATTAATTTCCTTGTGACGGCATTTTCAATCTAAATCCAGACATGTATAAACAAAAGTTTAGTATCAGTCTCTAGCTCTTTTAATCTTATTCCATTAATTAATTTAAATGACTTGAATCAGAGACGTATATACTATGACTTTATGTGTCTCTGCTGGAATTTTTAAAAAAATATATAGGATGCAGAAAGCTTCAAAGGATACATGGATAATGATATAAAGTCTCTCAATGTCTCTACTCAATATACAATCGCAGCAAACCAAAAATATCTAATCTAATTCTGTGGTTTCAAGTTGTATTCATTATAAAAGATGTGGATTAATTAGGATTATATAATATTTACCAGACATGCCCTTTTTATACTATGATATATATATATATATAGTTATACGCTTTTGGATTTAAAGACCTGGATTGCAATAAAATATCAAACAGTTGTACGCCTTTAAAAAATCTCATAAATGAGTTGCTGACATTGTTTCGTTGTAATAATATGTAGGCTTTTTTTCCCGCGGAAGGATGATCTTGAATCATAAACAATGTTCTGATTTAATTTGATCATAGTGCAATTATCCACAGTAATCGCAGTGTATCATCTTCAATACATTGAAGGTGTACTGTATACAAAAAAAGAAGAAAATAAAGAAGAGATCTGATTATACATTACAAATAAAAAAGTTTGATATAAATAAAACATATAAAGATTTATGTCTTTATATCATGGAAATGAATGCAGTTGTTGTGAAGCAAAAAAGTCTTCTTAAAAAAAGTCTGACAAATTGAACTTAATATTTGTGCCGACTCTTTGCAAATGGCAATGATCTGAACACACTTATTTAGAAACATTTGAGATCCTATTCCTAAATATATATAGACATTCGATTTTAAGTCAGTAACGTGAACATTTTTTTTGTTTAAATTAATATTATTTGCATGGCAATGAAAAATGGGGGAACTATTTAACAATGAGCTGTGGCTAAACACAATTCTTGATTTGCCCCTTTTGCATCAAAATCCAATGCAGTGCTTGTTGTTGATCTGTGTTGAAATTACTATGCAGCTTTTTATGTTTATTTCCAGCTTATTGCTTATTGGACACGGTAGGCTTAGTGCTTATTGGACACTATGGGTTTAGTGCTTATTGAACACGGTAGGCTTAGTGCTTATTGGACACTGTAGGCTTAGTGCTTATTGGACACTGTAGGCTTAGTGTTTATTGGACACTGTAGGCTTAGTGCTTATTGGACACTGTAGGCTTAGTGCTTATTGGACACTGTAGGCTTAGTGCTTATTGGACACTGTAGGCTTAGTGCTTATTGGACACTGTAGGCTTAGTGCTTATTGGACACTGTAGGCTTAGTGCTTATTGGACACTGTAGGCTTAGTGCTTATTGGACACTGTAGGCTTAGTGCTTATTGGACACTGTAGGCTTAGTGCTTATTGGACACTGTAGGCAGTGCTTATTGGACACTGTAGGCTTAGTGCTTTGCTTTTACATTATCCTTATTAACTAAGTGCTTTCTTATGAATTTCAGTTGTCTCTTATTTATTTAGCATGTAATTTGTTGACTATAATTTATATGTTGACATGAACTTCTAGCTTTATATGTCATGTCTTAGTACTGTGGTGTCTCTTTCTGTGTTATAGATTAGTGTTTAGTTTGCATGTTTTGTGTAGATTTTAGAATATAGATGTAGTTGTTTAACATTGTACATACATATATCTTACTATAATATTGTTATATCCATGTCTAGTCGGTAAATAGCTAAAGAGCTATTGTTATATGTTACAAATTGTCCGACTCTAAATAAATATTATTTGATTTGATTTGAGCTTCACAAGTTAACAATTTTCATCTGCGAACCTCAGTAGTGCTAGCCAATGTTTCACTGATACAGACAAGTATAAATACGTGTTTGTTTTTAAATAAAAGCAAGATTATTCCGGTTTTCTAGATGTTATGGATAATTGAAGTAACCTTAGTATCAACACAATTTTGTTTCCATTTATTTTAGACGTACGCTGAGATGATTTTTTTTACCTAACCCAGAACAGAAAACATTTGAAAATTACGCGGAAAAATAATAAGAACAGGTGCGCCATATATTAATGCGCCACCTAGCGGGGAAACCCCTTAGCGTGGGACCGGAAATTACAATCCGCCATTATCGTGTATTCAGACAGGTATATTTATCAACAAAGTCAGTTTCATCAGGAAGTGCTACTTGAATATAAGTCACATTTTCTTGATAAATATATGTCAGTCCATTTCTGAAGCAACTGTATGTGATCGAATGCGTAAATTCGTATATTTGTACGACGGAAAGACGCGGGGTCGAACTACCCGTGAAATGACTCATCTTCACTACTCTAGCTATGCTACTGATACTGTGGATGTATGATGTTTTACAGTATACCTATTGCAGGTACTTCTGTTGACATAACTTTACACCGAATATCACGTTGGACAGTCGTTCGGAAACGTGTACTGCATGTGGGCAAGACATCTGTCAGTGTCAACATCACTGGTTTGCAATGACCCCAGGCAGTTGCTGTCAGTAACTTGATTAAGAGCCAAGCTGATCTGGCTTCTAAAAGTTGACTTCTGATTTATACTCATTTAAATATCTGTATGTAAGTAACTTCTTGAATCAATAGTGCGATGAGTACCTCCTCATTACCTTCGTCGGTGTCGGGTAGTGCGAGAGGGACACCTGTACCCATGAACACGTCGGGATCATTCTCACCTGGATCACTACCATATAAGGCACTATCCACCAGCCCCTCTGTCTTATCACTAGCAAAAGCAAGTGACGATGAACTAAGACACAGAGGTGTAGAGGAACTTGTTCGTATTGTTCGCCATATAGAATCTGAAATACGTTCAACTTTGGCAGAACACAGCAGCATTATAAAGGATGTGAATAGGAGAATTCAGATAAATGTTTTGGAAATAAGGGGTCTCAAAGACATCAATCAAAAACTGCAAGATGATAATCAAGAACTGCGTGATTTGTGTTGTTTTCTGGATGACGATAGACAACGTGGTCGTAAACTTGCGCGTGAATGGCAGAGGTTTGGTCGATATACTGCAAGTGTTATGCGTAGTGAAGTTGCAGCCTACCAGGAAAAGCTGAAAGATTTAGAAATGAAACAGGAGGAATTGATCTCTGACAATGCAGACCTAAAAGAGCTGTGTTTGTACCTGGACCAGGAGAGGCTGGGGCCATCTCAAGTGCGAGATGATGGGGACGGGAGCAGCAACAGTACAGCAGCGGGTGCAGATGAGACTCCTCAAATGGCTATCAACACTTCAAATCTTAGTGCACCTGACACCTCAAATGGTAATTTGTAGTGTAGATAATAATTACTTTCACATCAGTGATTGTTACATTTACTATTTGGTTCTGTTCAGGGTAGCTGCAGGAAATGAAGCACATTGTAAGACTATGATAGATATGCCAGTATTTTTGGTGGTAAAGTAAAAATAAGAGAGTTTAATAAGTGACATGTAATCGGAAGTTTTTAATAAGCTTAAGATATACTGTAGCTCTATCTTCCATACCATGACAAACATGAAGCATAAAGTAATATAGACCAGACAGAAAAATGGCTCTGCTACTAGTTTTAAAGTCGTCCAGAAATTATTTTTGGAATTTATCCTTTTAAGGTAGATTTTTAGTTATAAATTTCTTCCAAATGTTTACCAGAAGAATCTTTTCAGTAAAAATTGATGTTTTATTGTATTGATTTCAATAACGTTTGTGATATATATACAATCAAAGGTAATTAATGATGGGTAGTAATGCTATACCTGTTATGTAATTACAGATAATGTTATGCCTATTGTGTAATTACTGATGGGTAGTAATGTTATACCTGTTATGTAATTACTGATAATGTTATACCTGCTATGTAATTACTGATGGGTAGTAATGTTATACCTGTTAAATAATAACTGATGGGTAGTAATGTTATACCTGTTATGTAATTACTGATAATGTTATACCTGTTATGTAATTACTGATAATGTTATATCTGTTACGTAATTACTGATGGGTAGTAATGTTATACCTGTTAAGTAATTACAGATAATGTTATGCCTATTGTGTAATTACTGATGGGTAGTAATGTTATACCTGTTATGTAATTACTGATAATGTTATACCTGTTCTGTAATTACTGATAATGTTATACCTGTTACGTAATTACAGATAATGTTATGCCTATTGTGTAATTACTGATGGGTAGTAATGTTATACCTGTTATGTAATTACTGATGGGTAGTAATGTTATACCTATTATGTAATTACTGGTAATATTATACCTGTTATGTAATTACCGATAATGTTATACCTATTCTGTAATTACTGATAATGTTATACCTGTTATTTAATTAATGATGGGTAGTAATGTTATACCTGTTATGTAATTGCTGATAATGTTAAACCTGTTATGTAATTACCGATAATGTTATACCTATTCTGTAATTACTGATAATGTTAAACCTGTTATGTAATTACCGATAATGTTATACCTATTCTGGAATTACTGATAATGTTATACCTGTTATTTAATTACTGATGGGTAGTAATGTTATACCTATGATGTAATTATTGATAATGTTATACCTGTTATGTAATTAGTAATGGGTAGTAATGTTATACCTATTATGTAATTACGGACAATGTAATACCTATTATGTAATTACTGATAATGTTATGCCTATTGTGTAATTACTGATGGGTAGTAATGTTATACCTATTATGTAATTATTGATAATGTTATACCTGTTATGTAATTAGTAATGGGTAGTAATGTTATACCTATTATGTAATTACTGACAATGTAATACCTATTATGTAATTACTGATAATATTATACCTGTTATGTAATTACAGATGATGTTATGCCTATCGTGTAATTACTGATGGGTAGTAATGTTATACCTGTTATGTAATTACTAATGGGTAGTAATGTTATACCTGTTATGTGATTATTGACAATATAATACCTATTATGTAACTACAGATAATGTTATGCCTATTGTGTAATTACTGATGGGGAGTAATGTTATACCTGTTATGTAAGTACTGATAATATTATACCTGTTATGTAACTACAGATAATGTTATGCCTATTGTGTAATTACTGATGGGTAGTAATGTTATACCTGTTATGTAATTTCTGATAATATTATACCTGTTATGTAACTACAGATAATGTTATCCCTATTGTGTAATTACTAATGGGCAGTAATGTTATACCTGTTATGTAATTACTGATAATATTATACCTGTTATGTAACTACAGATAATGTTATGCCTATTGTGTAATTACT